AGATGTGCCAGGCATCCTGACCTGCGTGTCTGCAGGTGCTGGCTGCTGTGCCCGCACTCTCTCACTCCTCAGTGTCCCTTTAAAAACTGCCATCTTGCCTCTGTGCCTGGCCTTTGTCCCAGCTCTTTCCTGAGACATCTGTGGCTCACTCCTTCCCTGGAGGGCTTTATGTCATTGTCATGTGCCACACTGAAACAGCAATTTCTGACCTACCTTGGTTCCTAGACACCATGGCCTGCTTCTCTATTGTCTGTTTCACACTGAGCATATGTGAACTTCACAGGTCTCTATGTCCCATCAAGACAGCGTGAGCTCCATGGAAATAGATTTGAGTTTCCTCATCCTTCTTTTTTTTCAGGAGTGTGTGTGTGTGTGTGTGTGTGTGTGTGTGTGTGTGTACATGTGTGTTCCTATGTGTTGAGTGTGTGGTATACGGGCAAGTGTGTGCATGGGCATGTAGAGGAGGATGTTAGGCATACTGCTCTATCCATCTTATTCCCTCAAGACATTATCTTTCAGTGAACCCGGAGATAACCCCAGAAATCAGTCTTACCGTCTCCATCCTCCACAGGAGTTTTAATTGTGTGCAGCCGTGCCTGTCTTTTTACTAGGGATTTGAACTGAGGTCATCATGTGTATCCACTGAGCCATTTCCTAGTCCCTGGTGCTTTAGTCTTAATGTCTAGAATAGTAAGCACCTTAATGAACAATCCTCATCCAATGAGAATAAATTCATAAAATAACAAGTAGACAGGGCCTTACAGCCTTCATGGGAGGGCAGTGACTTAGCACTGGGCCTAGGGCCTGCTTATCAAGGTTCAAATCCCTGCTGCACTTACCAGTGGTGTCACCCAGAAGTTACTATGTAAGCTTTTGGGGCCACGTTTTCCCCTCTGTGAAACTGGAAGAATGATACCACCCTAGAGTGATTATGAGAACTGAGTGAAACAGTCCACAAAAAGCAGTTGGCACAGCTCCTGTATGTAACAAGTTACCTGCTGTTACCAGTGGCTCATGTGCTAGCATTAAGGAAGGCTCGCAAAGTTCTTCAGGATGACCCCATTGGGGCAGAATGATGGGACTGATCCCTCTACAGAGAGACGGTATCTGTGGACAACTTGGGAGTTCTTTGAACTACCAATGCCCTGGTCATCCCTCACTTCAGGTAAATATTAAATACTTCACCTGCTCAGATGGGTTTCAGAGAAAACCATTAGAGATGGCTCTTCCTTATTTAAACATGGTTTTTCCCTCTTATTTAGGTAACTTTGATGGCTCTTCCTTATTTAAACATGGTTTTTCCCTCTTATTTAGGTAACTTTGAGTAAATAATTGTGCACAGCTATACTGTACAAGGCACTTATAAATCTTTCTTTTTGCCTGGTGACAACAGAGTAAACCATGTCAAAAGTCATCTGGCAATTTGGATTTTGATTGAAGTTTTATACAGAAGGGTACTTGCTCCGTGGTAAGCTTAAGGAGGGGTTGAGCTTTGATCTTAAGTCCTAAGGAGGGTTTGTGGGAATTGGAGATGACATTGTTGACAGGTTTGTCTGCAGCTTTTCTGCTGCCACTAATTAAGCACATACACATGCACACTCTTTGTTTACCCCTTGGACTTTGATGGGAAGCTGTGACCAGGTTCAGGGAAACATCAAAGAGGCATTCCTGGTCTGGTAAAACCAACTCTGACATGAACATAAAAGAACTCTCAATCCCAAAGCTGGCTACATTTTGTTTTTCCTACAGAGCATTAATTCTCCATAACAGTGAGAAAGTCAAGAGCAGACAGGTGCCCCACCCAGTGCAGTGGGTTTTAGAAAGTTCTCACACCCTTTTGTCTGCTTCAGAACACCACCCACACACCTTTGCGACTTCATCCTGCTAACCCCTTCAGGACCTCTGTTTAAACATCTTACAACGTTTTTCATGTTAATTTTGGATAACCACAGCCAAAGCTTAAAATGAATGTTTTATGCTCTTAAGCCCTTAGAAATGGGATCACAGACAGGTTAAGGCCCTGTGTGAGTTGGGACCAGACGGTGCTTTTGCAGTCTCAGAACATAGTCTCTCTAGCCTCACTAGAACACTGACTGCTCACCTCAGGTATCGCTCCTGCATCAGCTGGGTGCAAGCCTCATCATAAGCTCCAAAGAGCAGTGAGCACAAGAGTCAAAAATGCCACTCACATAAAGTTCATGTCCTAGTGGATACCCAACAGGAAAACACCGGCCGTATATCATATTAGAAGACACTGAAAGCTGTGGAGAATAAGGTGGCGAGGGGGATGGTGTTAGAGTAGGGTTGCATCTTAAACAGGATGTCCAGGGAAGGCAGCAGCAATGACCCAGGAGCTGAGAGAACCTCTCATGGAGAGTGGCAGAAGCAAGTGACAGTTATGAGACAGAGGGGATGACTGATGGTGGATGAGCAGGTGGAAGCTATGGACAGCAGGGGAAACGTGGGAGTTATGGGTAGACCATGGTGAACCAAAGATCTCAGGGTTTGTGAGAGAAGCGAGACGGGCGTTTTCTCAGACTGGAATCATGGGAGGGGTCCGAATGGAGACGGGCCATATCTGATTTACTTGAACAGGGTAGCTGTGATCACTGGGCAGACTCCAAGAGATCAGATGAGTGGTTGTTGAATTGATTTAACCCAAGGAGGGTGGTAGTTAGAGGCAGGATAGAAACAGGAGACACGAGGAGAAGTGTTTGGACTCAGGTGTGTAGTAGATGCAGAGCTGGGAGCTTTCCCCATGGGTCGGATGAGCAAGACTGGAGCAATGGGAGCCGGTGCCTTTCAAACCCATGGCTGATAACTGACAGCTCTTGCAGGCCTCTGAGTTATTTTTAGATCACCACCTTGGCCCTAGTTGTGAACCATGGACACTGGCAGTGAGGAGAATTGATAGTTGCGTGATCTTAGCCATTGTCAATGGTAACAGGCTAATTAATGTGCAGGAATGCTTAGTCTTTCTTGGCACCAACTGGCAGTACACCATAGCATCACATTCTGGGGGAGGAACTGAGATAGGTATTGGTGCCACCCAACTTCCACTTCATCTCCAAAAAGAACCAAAAAGGAGCAGGAGAGCATGGGAAACTAGAGACAAAAAAAAAAAAAAAAAAACCAGGAAGGTCTGGAAACTTCGAGTTAAAACCTCTTGGAAAAGAAAGCTATCAGGGCAGTAGAATGTGTTTCTTTTCCTTGAAAGTGCCTTGCTAGTCTATTTATATCCCTCAAGCTCCTATTGGGAAGATAAAAGACATTCGCTGGAGAGAACACTAATACAAATTAACATAACAAAACAAAGATCAAGTGCCCTATTTAGTAAGTGAGGGCTGCTGTGAGAGATAGGGCTCGGGCCCTCTTTCCTGCACCCTCCCCAGGCTCTCCTACTTCACACCACAAATCCTCCATGAGGCAGCTTGAGGCCACAGTTCACGATGGTGGTGGCCAAAAGAATCCCACTTTGTTTATTTACTAGGGGACTCGTTTCCCACCCCTACCTGGCTAATGAGGGGAAGGAAGTCTTAATCTGACAGAGCTCCTGTCTCAGGAATAGCAGAGGGCAGCCCCTGAAACTCTCACCTAGCAGGTGCCACACAGGATGAAGAGGGCAGGAGGGTCGGATCGGGACTGTGGAAAATACCTCTGTGGGGCCAAGAAACCCATAAGGCTGATGAGCTGGAGAAAGGAGCAGGCATGCGTGTGTGCGTGTGCCTGTGCGTGTGTGTGTGTGGGGGGTGTGTGGTGTGGTGCCTAAAGGCACAAACCTGGAACTTGTCAGGATGCAGTGATGGGGACACCAGATGAACTACAGTCAGTCAAAGCAGATGGTGCGCTTTTATTTTGTAAAGAATTTGTAAATCCTGGGAACAAGGAGCCATAGGGTGCTGGAACCTTTAATCCTATTACACAAGACAAAGTGTGCTCTTTAAAAATGTAAACCCACCAAATATAGACTTTCTGTATCAAAACCTTGGGGCAACAAAGAGCTTTGTAAACTCCAGGGACTCTCTGAATTCTTCCTAGTTGGGAGGAGGAACTGCAGAAATAGTGCAGACCTTGAGTTAATGGCATCTTCCTTAGGGACTGGGTGTCAATTTGTTAAGTGCACATTCTCTTACTTTGCTTGCAGAGTTGGGCACTGAAGCCAGGGCCTTAGGCATGTTAGGCAAAGCACTCTACTACTGAGCCACATCTCCAAAAAATGTGACATTTTAGAACAAAATGAACTAGGTCACAAGTGGGGTTGAAAGAAAAGCTAGTAGTGTACTTAGCAACGTAGCAACTTTTTTAGTAAAAATTTGGGTCTGTGACAAGCAAAATAAATTCTGAACACTGACTGCTTTCTCAAAAGTAGGGTCTCTGTTCCCGTCTTCTCAGGTATGGGGTCTAGATCAGTCTGGCTTGGTGGAGGTATAGTCACAACTGCTGTCTATCCTGGTGCCAGCAACACAAGGCTCTATTGTCCAGCCCTTATCTCCTTCCCAGCCTCTGAGGTCCAAGGCTGCTTCTAGGATCCTCCAACACTGCTCTCTCCAAAAGAAGACCACACTCCCAAATGCCTCATGGATGCATCATTCTTGTGCCCATGTATGACCCATGTCTGCAAGTGTGAACACATAGCTCTGTGTCCCTGGTGTAGAGACAGCAGGGCGTGGGATAAGCCTGTGTCTGAGAGCTCAGGAGCAATCTGCCTTCTTTATAGAACGTAATGTCTGATGCTCTTGCTGAGATGAAACCCTGTTGTATAGAAGAAATTACGGGAACTGTGGAGTATTAGGAGAACATTTTAAAGAAGTGTGGTAGTTAAATCCTGATTCTGTTTGGCCTGCACTGGTCTATCCATCATGTGTTGTTAATGAGGCTTCATGTTAATACTCCTTCATATGTATTTATATCCTTAATTGCTCCTGACATGTTATTTTGTGCTTGAAGTTGTATAGAGTAGCCTTCTGACTATTTCTGTTTGCCTGTTTTCATCTTTAAAGGTATGGAAACCTGACAGGCTCAAACTGTGAAGAAGACGGAAGTCCAAGTTCATCAGAGTCCAAGGCCGTGATCCGGAAGTGAGTGTCTTCTTATTGACTGTATCACTAGCTCTCAGTCAGGACAGCCTCTCAGCTGAGCTCCAGGGTGTGTGAACATGGTGGTGTGTGCACTTGTGAAACCAAGGCAGAAGCATGAATTTGAGACCAGCCTGGACTGTATGACTGAAACCTCCAACAAAAACAAAGTAGTCTAGCAGAAACTTTTACTCCTTTGGAGTGGGTGCTGCCATGCTGCTAGGCCGCTGTGATTTTGCCACACAATATCTATATGCCAGAGCTGGAAAGAGAGCTTAGCAGTTAAGAGTACTTGTTACTTTTGCCAAAGACATGGTGGCTCGCAGCCATCTGTAACTCCAGTTCCAGGGGATCCGATTTCCTCTTCTGACCTCCACAGGCATCAGGCATGCACATGGTGCATAGACAAGACACTCATACAAATAAAATAAAGTAAGATAAATATATCTACAAAGTTTTTAAATTACCTATATGCCTATACTTTTAGGAAAGTTATCTAATAATACTCACTTGTTTACCCAGGAATAATGCATTGCCATTGACTAGGTACTATTTGAAGAGATTTAAATAAACAAGGAAATAAAACAAGTGAACATGAAGAAATAGTCTTAGCTGTTATGAAGTTTATATTTTAGCAGAGGGAGACAAAGACTAATCACAGGAGTGGAGAAGAATGCAGCAAAGGAAGTGTCTCAGCCCCAATGGAGCTCTGTCTCCTGCAGGGTTCCAGGAAGAGGCTCTCTGATCTGGGGACACTGGAGCACAGTGGTGTGAGGTGCAAGCCAAGTCCTGTGATGTCTAGGCAGAGAGGATATGGAAGAGGCTGGAGGCGGGGATGGAGCGATACAGTGATGCAGCAGGGAGATGGGCAAGTGGCTCGGCAGGTGCTCGGGTGGAGACGGGCGAGTGTTACGCAGGTGCTCGGGTGGAGACGGGCGAGTGTTACGCAGGTGCTCGGGTGGAGACCAGGCGAGTGTTACGCAGGTGCTCGGGTGGAGACCAGCGAGTGGTACCGCGGATGCTCGGGTGGAGACGGGCGAGTGTTATGCAGGTGCTCGGTTGGAGACGGGCGAGTGTTACGCAGGTGCTCGGGTGGAGACAGGCGAGTGGCTCGGCAGGTGCTCGGGTGGAGACAGGAAAGTGGAGACGGGAAAGTGGCCTGGCGAGAAAGAGCCATGGTGTGGAGATAGAGGCTACTATAAGGCTGTGTTCTGGAGCAGATGCGATGGATTCTCTGGGGTCCAAAAATAATCTCTAAATACTCATTTGGGGTCAAAAACCAGAGAGTGGGAACGTAATTAAGCTTTCCTGTGTAGTTTTTAACTCTCCACAGGATTAATTGATGGTTCCCATGCTTTAGGGACTGTAGGTGTGAAAGTCAGAAAAGCATTCTTTTTAACCCCCGAGTAGAACCAATAAACCTTACATTTAGGTTTCTTTGTAATTTTATCGCAGAAAAGTAGACAAGCTAATGTGCATATTTAAAAGTCCAAGGCAAGGTATGGTAGATAAACCATTACATTATTTCTACAGGAGATGGACTAGTGGAGGAGGTGCCATTTGAAGGATGGTCAAGACTTGGGCAGTGGCTGTCCAGGCAGAGGGGCCAGCAGGTCCCATCAGGGACATTCAGTATATATGGAGTTTTGAGAAGCAAGGGAGAGTTGTTGGGGGATTACTTCACGGAGTGTATGTGGGTCGGGGGATTCTGTGTGGCTGAAACTAGTCTAAGGTTGCACTGTGAAGGGCTTCAATCGTTCACAAAAGAGTTTGGATTTCTCCTGGTTAGCTGTGGGCTAGCAGCCATACACGCTTTGCATCAGTGGGAAGCATTATAACATAGGTCATCAAGGTGGGTTGGGCCTGGAGTCATCCATGTCCACATGTATTGAGGACTGTCAGCTCAGCATCCAGGAAACTCTTTAGAAATGAAGTTGAACTGCTTCTAGCCCAGTGATTCTCAACCTGGTGGGGTGTTGAGTGGCCCTTTCACAAGGGTTGCATATTAGATATCCTCCATATTAGATATTTACACTGACTCATAACAGTCACAAAATTAGTTATGAAGTAGCAACTAACCCTGAGCTAGTGGACTAGAATCTGCGGCTTCAGATCCTTGGAGTGAGTCCTGAGCATTTTCAAGTTTAGAAATCATGAGATTGGAGTGTTTAAAATTGTTTTTATTCATCCATGAGAAGGCACTAAAACAGTGATTCTCAGAGGATCCTTTTGTAATGGGTGTTCGTGAGAGTCCCCAGAAGAGAAACGGCAAGGGTCCAGAGAGTGGCGTGACGGGTGTGCTGACCTGTGTGTGGGTTCAGTGAGGAGCGAGCGCACTGTCAGCCACCAGTGTTGGAAGCCAATCAAATCTACAGTTACTGTTCAGTTAGCCACAGGAATAGCCTAGAAGAGTACCGTCTGCAACATACCCAGAGCCTTTCACCAGAGGGTGTTTCAAGATTAAATAGGTTTGGGGGAAGGAGCACTTAGGAAAATTGATTGTACCCTGGATGTGAAAAGCAGTGCTCATTATTTTAAAGGCCCACTGAAATTCATTGTACACTTACTCAGAACTCTAATGTGGGTGAAACTCCAGGCTAAGCTGTTTTAAGGGCTTTAGAGTTTTAAGCACATGAAACCTTAACAAAGAGCTTCACACAGTACTCCCCTGAGGGGTCCATCATCTGGGGACAATAGTCCTTTCCCAGAACCTCACAGCGACTTGGAGGAAAGTTCTTGACCCCTTTGCTCAAACTGAGTTGCCTTTTTGAAAGAACTGTGCCTGGTGAATGCATAGCACTTTATTCTATAATAGGTCACTCTGTCCCCCAGACTCTGGAATGCTAAAACCCCTTCTCTCTGGTGACCTCTTTCTTTCTTCCGTTTCCCTTTCTTCTATTTTTTCTCCTTTTATTAATTTGTATTCCATGTCGCCATTATCAGTTTCTACTGTATTTTTGTGTGCCTCCCCTGACAGTGTCCATCGCTACAGATGGCCACTGCTCGTTTTCCTGAGAAGAACCAGGGAAGCAACTCCCCGATCTGCATGTGACACTGCAGGTCCCTCAAGCACCCCAGACCTCTGTCCCCTGACCTGGAGCAGTGAGTGGCACTGGTTGTCACAGGGTGACTTTGTCCCCCAGAGGACATTGACCAGCATCTGGACACTTTGGCTGTGCACAAATGGAGTATGTGCTACTGGCATCTAACAGGTAGAGGGCAAGGATGACGCTAAACGTCCTATAATTCACAAGACAAGGCTTGTCCCTTCCGTTTGATGACATGTCATGAGATATCACCAGTGCCTTGGTAGGAAACCCCACCACATGGTATCTTAGTACCTCTAAGCATGCTCGTTTGGAAGCTTACCCATCTGAGTTCCTTTTTACAACTAGGTGAGTCAAATGCAGAGGTGGCCTAGGGCCAGCCACAGGGAGGGTAAAAGCCGCCTCCCCTGCAGTCACTCTGTCTCTTACTAGTCACACGGCCTCTGTTTGTCGCATTACCTCTCTCAGTTTCAGAGTTTTCATCTGGAAATGGAACTCTTGGAGCATACAATATCCGAGTCGTTTTCAAGTCAGTGACAGCTAACATAAAATGTATTTAGTTTTTCAAAAGCCAAAATCAAAGATGTGGTTCAAATACTATATTAGGCGTTTGGACATTCCCCAGACTGTTTTTCTGTCTTAGAAAGCATATGTAGCAGACTGAATAAAACCATCAGAAAAGAGGAGTCCGGCCCTGATTTGCGTGTTAAGTTGTGATGTCACAGCTGCTCACTTCAGTCATCAAGAGCTGAGCTGAGACACTGTCCAGCTGGGGTGGGGGTGGGGTGGGAGTGGGGATGGGGTGGGGTGTACAAACAGTGGCAAATGCCGGCTGTTTTCCTCTGCCCTGCATCTGTTCCCTTGTGATTTTAGGTGGGCAGCGCACAGCAGGAAACCAAGCGCCTCACCTCAGGGCTGTTGCCCTTAGTTAATTTTTGTGGCCCTGGGTTGAATTGGGAGCAGGGACAGAGACTCACTATTGGATCTAATCATGAACATGAAAAAGTCTAAAATTGTTTGATTTTTCAGTTTTTTCTATAAATTATATTGGGACCCTTACCCTTTATGTATGCTTCCATGTACCAAGTTGGCAGTCATTTCTGATGCTCTAAGTGTGGATCTAATCAAGCTAACAGAGGGCCGACCAAAAAGATGGAAATATGAATACACAGATAAAGCCTTAAGATGGCTTAAGATTGGTTTCTGGTGTCTTGAACCCACACTGACCCACGTTCTTTATGTGTTTATTAATGTTATCAGATTGCTCAGGGTGGCTCCAGCCTGTGGAGTGCCCCGTAGCGCGCTCTGTTGCAGCCAGGACTTCCAGAGTCATCGGGCTCAACGAGAGTGTCTCAAGTTGCCAAGAATTCTGTTTCCATGGCTTTAGTTTTAGACCTTTGCCACACTGTGACTTCTGGTGCTCAGACTAGGCCTAAGCAGAGAACCAGTGGGCCCTGCCGTTGTTTTTTTATCTTAGGACTCCTGAAATCGGCCTTGATTTGGGAATCCGGAAACCTACTTCCTATTATGGAAGAAAACAACTCCGCTCACATTCGCTCACCTGTGCCCTCTTCACCGTGCCTGTTGACATTTCCACATGATAAACGCATTTCAGACAGATAGGAAGAAGAAACTGTTCACAGGACAGATTTGCTGCAGCAAAGAAGGAATGGGAACCGTCCAACTTTTGCATCACGAGTTCTTTGAAATGTGTGAGATTGCTCTGTGTGTGTTGGGGGGATAGTATGTAAGTTTATTTAAAGAGATTTAAAACTCCCCAGGTCTGGGTGCTTTATTGCTTCCCGTAGTCAGTGCTCTTTTATGTCAGAGCAGCTTCTATTTCCTCTTCTTTAGTTGAGTCTCACCTGGGCTCTCCTGGAATGCCAAATTCTGTTTTCTCAATTTCTTTACCATTGCCGTGCTTCGGCCTGTTGAAATCATCCCACTGTCCTTTCCACGCGTTCAGAAGACACGAATGTCACTCTTGTGATCCTTCCTAGAAGCTGGGGTACTGACAGAGTGCTCAGGGGCTGGTAAGGGAACTAGTAAACAGTCTTCATCCAAGATGTTGGGCACTCTTTGGAGAAAAGCTGAAGTCTGAAGTTATTAGTGCCTGGAGAAATTAAAGCGGAAAGTATTTGAAAACTCTTCCTGGAATGTTTGCAATCAATAGTCATTCCAGAAAATCCAAATGCCCTAAGAAGGCAATTGAAACTGAATGATTGTAAGGAAAAGGGGAAAATTTGAGAGAAAAAAACCCCATAAAAATAAGACATAAAACACCAAACTCAGGCACAGAGATGCACACACACCTGTAGTACCAGCACACTTAAGTTTAAGACCATCCTTGAACACACAAGAAGATTCAATAAAAACGAAAAAAAAAACCTCTACAATAACAGCAGAACAGTGAGCATAGTAAAACCTCGAAATTTAGAAGAATTGAAGGTAATAATGTAAAAGGAATATATCTTTCCTTTAAGTGAAACAAACGAAATAGAGCAATATGTCATATTAAAGAGAAAGTTGTTTTTCAATGTCCATACAGGGTAAAGAAAGGCACAAACTGTGATTTAAAATATCATCTCAGTTTTTGTGGGATGTGGGTAGAAATCTCCAGAATAGTAAGCCAGTGGTTAAACTGAATTTAAAGCAGTGATTCAGCATGAAGAAAAATGAGCAACGAATTTTCTTTTTTTTCAGACTTATATATTATTTGTATGTGTAAGGATGCTTCGTCTGCATGTATGTCTGTGTCCTATGTGTGTGAAATGCCCACTGTTTTGCTCAGCTGTTGCCTTATCGTAACACCCCCAGCGGGGTCCCAAACAGCTGTTGTGCAGTGTGGAAGGAGATGGTCAGAGGGTCGAGGAAAGATGAAGAAAGACCCAGTCAGTCAGGCCCATCAGAGGAGGGCTTGCTTTCTGTCCTTGGTACCTGGTCACACCTAACACTACCAAGGGAATCTCCATTCATGGTGAAACGGCAGAGAACTTCAGCAGGTTTTAAACAGAAGCCCCCTGTTTATAATGCATTAACTCCCTTCCCATACTGTGGGGAACTGGGAAGGGAGTTATGGAGATCCTAAAATGATAATTTTGGTGAGTAGCAGATGCTCTTTTCAAATAACAACTAGAAGTTATTGATTGCATAGTAAGGGTGCGCTGTATACGCTTAAATGACCTTGTAGAGCGTTCTTCCGTCTACCAAAGAGTAGCCTGGGCGGTTGAGGAACATGTCCAGGGTCATGCAGTGAGTAAGTGAGAGTGCTTGGATTTCGCCAAGGCCATGCTCGCTACATCATGTATCCTTTAATTCTTCCCCCTGCGGTAAAAATGAAAATATTTCTCTTAAGTGTGGGAATGAAAGACAGATGTGTGAGTAACCTTGACTTTGGGTAATAGGTTTCAGACGCATCTCATCCTGCGCTACCTTACACAGTTATCCGCTCAGTCGTCCCTGGGTACCTTGTCTTCCTATTCCTGCCTTGAGGGCTTAGTCCCTTTAACTGCCCCTTCCCTTCCCTGCCTGCCTGCCCACATCTGTGCTTAGATCTTGACCGTGCCATTGTTTGCATATTGTCCCCTCACCCTGTCGCAGCCCCTCCTCCCAGTCCCACCAACACCACAGTGTAACAATGGAAAGTACAGGAAGCCGAGGCAAGACAGCCTGGCCAGTCCAGATAGTAATGTTTCCATCCCTTGGGGAAGGGGGAGGAGAGAAGAAAAGAAACTTTGTCCCTCTCTTCCTTTGTTCTTTCTCCTCGGGAAACCATCTTGCTGGCAGCCTCTATCTGGCAGTCTTCCCTGAGGTGGAGGAAAACCAATTCCGGGACTTGGAGAACAAGGTGGAGGGTCTAGCTCAGTCAGGTTCAAGGTTAACAAAGTTCTTTACACCCCACCAACATGGCTTGGCAGAGGCACAGCCATGCTCACTAAGAGGTGCATGGTGCTCCTGGATTGCCCTTTTTCCGAGTTTGCTCACGGTGGTCAAGTCTGTAGAGACTGCCCTAGAATAGGGAAACATTCTGCTGTTTTTCCAAAAGTTTCTGTGTCTTATCCTTTGGCAGTTATTAAGCATAATACGTTATCATCTCAAATAGATTCTAGGGCAGGGGGAAAAAAACCACTTCCAAGTGAATAGCATTATTCTTTTTTTTTTCTGTAGTGGTAATCTATTTGTGTGTGTGTGTGTGTGTGTGTGTGTGTGTTTTCGAGACAGGATTTCTCTGTATTGTCTTGGAGGCTGTCCTGGAACTCGCTCTGTAGACCAGGCTGGCCTCGAACTCACAGAGATCCGCCTGACTCTGCCTCCCGCGTGCTGGGATTAAAGGTGTGTGCCACCAACATCTGGCTTGATCTGTCTTGTAGCGGTAATCTTATTCTTGGCAATTGCACATCATGGAAGAGACAATGTAACCCCAAAACTTACTAATTCTGGAGTGTTTAGGATAATTTTATATATTTGCTCACACTCTCTGGGTTTGTCACATCTGTGCTTGGAGCTCAGCTGCTGCTTTGGTACCCTGTGAGTCCTCCACACAGTGGCTGCTTTCGTACCCTGGGAGTCCTCCCTGTTACTGGGAAGTCTGGACCAGTTTCCCCTGCTCCTCTACCAAGGCACCTTGCTAGCCAGGTGTTCCCAAGTATGACCTGTGCTTACTGAGAAGCCAGTGAGCATAGCGTGTGTCACGTGACACAGCATGTGTCACTGTGCTACGCTCCTCCCCTCTCTGTGTTCTTTGGTTAAACAATGCCTAAGCCCACTCAGTGTTCGCCGTCTCACCTCCAGACCTTTGCTTACAGTGTTGCTCCATTCTCCATGCTGCTTATTCCTCCTTAGCCTTAAGGTGTCCTGGGGAGACCCTTCTGAGTCCATGACCAGCTTCCTTCTAAAGGTTAGTACTTCCATGGGTCTCTGAACTCCCTATTGTGACATTTACCACACAGTTAGTAGATATGGAAAATAAAAAAAGCACTCAGGAATGCTCGTCTAGTTAGTCACATTGATTCTACCTGGGGTCTCTCCTGGAAGGAAAAGCCTTCCACTAGACCTTAGCAGGCCTCACACCTGGGTATCTGATCACGTGTTCCTCTCCCCCATAGGCTTTTGCAATAGGCAGGGAAGTTGATTCTTGTCAAGAATACCCAAGGTAGAAAACACCATGCTAGTAGTCCCCTCTGCCGTGACGCCTGGCTGTATGTTGCTGGCCACTCATCTGCTGTGTCTGCTTAGACCCACACCTCCTTTCAGGACAGAGGAGCTCTGCTCTGTAACCCACTAAAGGGTTGCTTTGAAAAAGATTGGGGCATCAGTGTTCCCCTTAAAATAGACTGTGTACAATCTTAATCTCTCCACCTGGTTTCAGTATTCCTCCAGTCTCCAGACATTATTAAAGACCGTGTCTTCTGGTTAATGCTCTAGTTTGGATGTCTCTGAATTGCTCTTCCTTAGTGTGTCCTCTGGGGGGGATGCATGTGTGTGTGTTCATTTGTGCATGTGGTCCTGCCCATAGTGCATGTGCAGTATTTGTTCAGAGCTGTGACCTTCTTCCAGCAGGTGTGGGGTCACAGATGTTGAGGCACAGTTTGTCTCTGTGACCAGTGACAAATTCTTCGATTTCTGTGAGTTGATCTCACCAAGCCATTTATCCTTTTTAGTCCCATCCTTCTGTGAGCTTTGGTAGGTCATTGTAATCACATTATCAGTCATGTCCTTCTCAATATATCTCAGAAGGTCCCATTGATATGTCATTTGAAATCACAATTTATCAGTGTCAGATAGATGCAGGCAGGTGTTTTCTGTCCCTTCTCCAGTTAGGGGTCAGCGAGACTAAGTGAGCAAACTCTGCAAGTTGACAGGTGATCCTACTGGTAGAGAATTGCATTTTCCCTTCTCCCAGGCCTTTCTAGTTCTGTGCATGGGGTGAGCAAGTGACTTTTCCAGTGTAGTATGACTGCAGCCAGGGTCTCCCTTCCTGGCCCTCTAACTCTTCCATTCAGTCCTGGTGAGGAGCAGAGCCAGGCCAGGGAAGATGGAAAAGGCGCTGCTGTCCCCTTTTCTCTGTCATATTCCCGATGTCACTTTCCTTCTTGGAATCTTAACAGCCCCACATTTGTATCTGGTTGCTTGTTTTGTGGAGAATGGAAAGTTTCTTCCCAGGCCTGGCAAACATAAGGCTACTGTGAGCCTCGGGCAAGGGTCCAGGCCTTTCCAGAAACCCTCCTTCCCTGGCACACTGAGGAGCACTGCTGATCGGAGGGCAAGGGTCTGCTTGTGTTGAGTTACGCTGTCTCTGTTTTTCTCTTCTCTGATTTCTTCCTTCTCCCCCTTCATTCCTCTTTTGTGTGAAAATGCTTTTCGTGTCCTAGATTTCAGTGAACTCTCAAAACCTCCTTAGGCTAAGCTGTAGCAAGGTCACTATTAGAGCAGACAGATGAGGAACTTGCTCACCATAGTGAGTTAATGTTAGACTAAGTATGGAATGGAAGGGAGTCTCATACGAACCCAGGTCATTCAAAGGTTACTCTTTTGGTGGCTCTCTGAATCTGTGACTTTTCTTGGACATTGACTGCATGACATGCTTGGGGAACTACTCACAAATGTACACAGACATAAGCCAAGACACACATTTTACAATTGTTTGCAATCATGAGAACCCAAAAATTATTTAAATATCTGCCTGCCAGTAGAAGAATCCTTAGATTATTAGATGTATGCCCATGCTGTAGGACACAGTGTTCATGAGAAACTGTAAGATAACTGTAGGGGCAGTGACTGGAGAGGTGGCTGTAACATACCAATAAGTGAAAAAAAGGTTGATTTATATTTGCATTTCATGTATATTGAGTATGTGTGTATAGTCACAGAAATGCCTAGAAGTATAGACTGTAAGCTAATAACAAGTCGTGGGGTTGGAATGGGAATGAAAGATGGAGTAGATATTTTGCTTTTTAGTTTATGTAGATTTGTGAGAATTACTATTTTACAATTTTATGAGTTTACAATGAGCAATTGCTGTCAGTTAAGTAGAAATTGATACATTAGTATCACTGACTTACCCATAACCTAAGATTTTTTTCTTTTCTTTATTTCCCTTTTCCTTCCTTTCTCCGGTCTCCTCCCATTTGTGTTGCTGAGTCAAGGTTTAATTTTGTAACCCAGGCTGACCAGAATTTCACCCTGGAATCCAGGCTGTCCTGGAACCCAGGTAGCTCTCCTGCCTCAGCCTCCAGAGTACTGCAATTGCTGGCAGCTTTTACCTCATGGTTCAATCCGTGCTCCCTTTGACTTCTGTTGTGTAATGTGAAATTGCCACCCTCCCCCTCCCCGTGTGTGTGTGTGTGTGTGTGTGTGTGTGTGTGTGTGTGTGATTTTCATCAGTATCATTGGAAGCCTGTATTCTCACTGAAATGGGAAGGGTGTAGTAATCAATTGTCCTTTATTTTAAAATTCACAAAAGTGAGTGAGTCGGGCAGTGGTGGCACACACCTTTAATCCAAGAACTCAGGAGATAGATGCAGGAGGATCTCTGTGAGTTCGAGGCCAGCCTGGTCTACAGAGTGAGCTCCAGGATGGCCAAGGGTACAAAGAGAAACCCTGTCTTGAAAAAAAAGAATCATAAAGTTTTCTTCTCTAAGACTCTGGCTGATATATGCAAATGTCAGGTTTTCTGTGTTGTGGTGTGTCATCCCAACTATGCACCCTCATGACCCTAAGCTTACTGCATATCCAAACGAAGGGAAATTACTCACAGATTACATTTTTGTTATAAAAATTAAACATTAGGTGATAACTTGATTTTTTATTTAACTTTGACAGTTTCATACATGTATATAATGTATCTTTATCATATCCACCCTTATGTCTCCCTTCTACGCTTATCAAATATCTCCAGCATATACTCTTCTGGCCTTTATGTGCTCTTCTTTTGTTCCTTAATGTCCTCCTAAGTTCAGTTAGTGGACTTCTGGAATATTAACTGCCAATAAATGTTTACAATTATGGTATTAAAGTCTGATAACTAAAAGGGAGCAATAATTAATATAGCATGAGGGCCCTCAAAATATGAAGCCATTGAGTTCATTGTACTCACATTCTTTCTTTCATCCTTCCTTTCTTTCTTTTGATTTTTTGAGACAGGGTTTCTCTCTGTACCCCCTGGCTATCCTGGAACTCACTCTGTAGACCAGGCCAACTTCAAACACACAGAGATCCACCTGCCTCTGCCTCCAGAGTACTGGGTTTAAAGATGTGGGTCACTATGCCCAGCTCATGTTTTTAATTTTAATTCAAAGCCCAAATTACTTTCTGTCAGTTTTCTGGGTGGAAAATAGAGTTTTTGTTAGTGTTATTTGGTTTAAAGAGTTTTAGTGTTGAATTATTTCTATTATTTTGATAGTTTAATGTCGTTTGTTTCATGTAGATGATTGACATTAGAAATTCCAGATGCCATTATGTCTATGGTAGTGAAACAGTGGTGGACACAGTGGAGGAACAGTCAGTGTGTAAATGTTCCTGCCCCAAAAGCTAGGTGTTAAGTGGACATCTGTGGTAGGCATGCCTTGACTGCAGTTCAGCTCCTTGGTATGAAATTACAGTATGGAAGTTAAGACACGTGACAGCCAGCTGTAGCCCTGCACTGTGGATAGTAACTTCCACTCTAGTTTTTACTTATATAAACAATTTGTGTGAAGTACAGTAGATAATTACAATTTTCCTTTTTGTGATTCTGTGGGCCAAACCCAAACATGCCTTGTGCATGTTAGACAAATGCTATACCACTGAGTTACATTCCAAACCCTCTACAAAACATTTTGTGGCTTTGGAGATAAAGCTCAGTCTGTGAGATGCTTGCTGTGGGAGCATGAGGACCTGGTTGGATCCCAGCACCCATGTTTTTTTAAAAAAAAGTTTGACATGGTGAAGTGTGTCTGTCATCACAATGCTGGGGAAGCAGAGGCAAGAGGGTTTCTAGAGCCTGCTGGCCAGCCAGCCCAGCCTAATGATGACCCCCAGGTCCCAGTGAGAGACAAGGTAGATGACTCCTGAGGAGTGACAATGGAGGTTAACCTCTGACCTACACACACACACACACACACACACACACACACACACACACACACACACACACTTTTGTGGGTGAAAGAATTTTGTCTTTGCTTTGGGTTGCACCAGATGCCCTGGCTCCCCCTGTTATCTTCTCTAGCCAACATCAATGAACTGTCTTTGCTATGAGGCTGTGTTATCAGGAAGGCAGAGTATCTGTTTGTGGGAAAGGGACCTAGCCTGGCATGGGTCTGACTCCATGACTTTGCAGCAAGTCATTTCTCTGACTCTGCTCTCAAGGGAGGAGCTATCCCCAACTTAAAGGCAACACCCTGTGTTACTCAGGATGTATCTGTAGCATGCCACGCACCCAAAATAACCTTGTCTGTCTCTGAGTTCTGGTACCTGGTGCACCTTTGTGAATCCATCAGAAGAAACCGTGTTGCAGTAGTGTTGCTTACCAAGTTTTATTTGTTTTTCTGTCTGTTTGTCTTTCAGAGACCTAGCTTCTCCATCCCGTAGTTCCTGAGATGTGCTCTCATTGTAATTTGAGATACAAAGGGATAACTTTATGAGGAAATTTTTGTGCTTATGCTGAAGTCCCCATGACATTTATAAGATTAAACTTACTCATCTCCCCTCCAAACACAGACACTTCTCTTCAGATGTATTTCTGACCTAATGGTAGCCAAGTATCTCCTAAAATACCAATATGTTTAGTTGTATGTATCTTTCTTTTCTGTTTTATTGCTTTTATTCATTTGTTTGTGTGTGAATCTGAAGGCGTGGCCTGAGCATACCACAGCACAGGCATTGAACTCAGGTTGTCAGGCTTGGTAGAGAGTGCCTTACTCACTACATCACCTTGACAGCCTGGTTTTGTGGTCTTTAATTAGTGGATTGTGTTTGGATTGCTTGGAAACTGCTTTTGGAACTCACCAAATCTTCTCCTCACTATTTGTCTGATTTGGATGGATTTTTCTAACAACAAAACATTATCAACCCCCTCATACTCCCTCCAGCTACCAACCGTGGTGTCCAGGGCTTGTCCTGAGTCCCACAGGCATTCGGGTTCACTGGCTCTCCTTGTCTCCTTCCCAGTGCCATTGCGTCCATCCTGCGGGCCTGGCTTGACCAGTGTGCAGAGGACTTCCGGGAGCCCCCTCACTTCCCTTGCCTGCAGAAGCTGTTGGAGTATCTCAAAAGGATGATGCCTGGCTCAGACCCAGAGAGGAGAGCACAAAACCTTCTTGAACAGTTTCAAAAGCAGGAAGTGGATTCCGACAGTGAGTACCTATTTGGTCCCAGGGAAAACCTAGGTTGGGATTTTACAACGTGGAGGTTCCCCATTTGTTGGCTGAATGAGAAACCCTGGCACCCTCAGAAAGCTGGTGTAAGTGTAAAATTACTGAAGAGTTAACTTTAGAACCTTAAAGTTTTAGAGAGAAAAGAGAGATTTTTCAAGACTGGCTCCATGATTTTACAGATTAAATGGCTCAGAGGAACTAAGCTATTTCCTGGGGTTCCTTCTGTTACCAAGAACAGATTTTTCCCTGATTTTTTTATTTTTTAACTTTCCCTTGTCAACATGGGCCTGCTGACCATTAACTGGCTACTTATTTTCTGCCTAACATCTTCTGTCAGATAAACCTGTCACAAACAACCACACCACAGGGCTGGCAAGGATTTCCCTCTTCCAAAAGCTTGGAGGAGGTGTTTCTCCTTTGTCCTAGAAGGCATTACAGTAATGTGTCCCCAGCAGCCTAGATTACCGCCATCTACTCTCTCTAGTGGCTGCATCAAAAGAAGTTTCTGAGGCTGTTTTTTCCTATTGGAGGCTGACCTCTAATTTCCAAGGACAAATGCAGGGGCCACCACTGCTGACCCTAGAGTGTGTTGACTGCCAAGCTCTGAAGAAATTAGTCAAGAGATTCCATCAGGCTTCCAGGTGATGATACATCCTTTCACTGAGGTGCTGGTAAAGGTTTCCATGGCAGCTGACCCACTTGGAACTTCTGATGGGCATTTCCTTGAAGTAATGCCTGATTTCCTCTGTGAGGGAAAGGAAATGGGTCCCAACACAGATAAGGGGTGCTACCCCAGAGCCAAAGAAAATACAGAAACTCTAAATTCCACTCGGTACCTGTTGAATGGTTTGTATGTACTGGGGACCAGAGAAGGGGAATGCAATTGCATCATTTGGCTCAGATTGCCAAAGGCTTTGTATCTCCAATGACTTCATCTGCCGGGAATGCTTGAATACCCGGGAAGCTCCAGCTGCCAGACCTCAGCTCCCTTCGGGGCCTCTGGCCCAGCTTTGTGCTGGAGTGGAAAATGCTGTTGCTGCTGCTGCACTGGAGCCCAGCTCTCCCCACTGGGGCTGCCTCTGGCTGCATGCCTAATTGGGGAACCAGTGGGACCAGTCATTGGTTGTATCCAGCTAGGGACTGGAGGGCTGAGCTCTTTTGGCAGGCAGAGGCAGGGACTAGGGAGGTGGCCTGACTTCACAAAAACTTTTAGGCAATGCCCAAGAATGTGCTTAGAGTTTTTACATGCCCCTGGAGAGAGTCAGGAGCTGGAGCAGTGAAGTCATAGGCCAGGTCCTAGAGACAACGGATTAGGATTAGTCTTCACACTGAGTCACATTTTAGGTGCAAACAAGACTTAGCAGTGCTTGAATGAATGAATGAGTGAGTGAGTAATGTTAGTCCTTACCCTGTGCTCTCCTTGGCTGAGGCAGGACAGCCTCTGAATTGTTTTACAGATATTGTGGTACATTGTAGTTGTCAGGAGGGATGGAAGGCCCCTTAGAACCTTTGGTTGGCTCATTGGATTTCTTGCTTCTCCACTGAATGAGAAAGTACCAGAGTTTAGGGGAGGGAAAGTACTGGGATCAGGCTCTGGCATCCTGTACATGGTGGGATTTTAGCTCTTTGATTGGTACTTCCTTGTATCCAAGATAACAGCAATATGTAGTGCTGCTCTCCTACCTTTTCCAGATATAACCCAACCCATTCACATCAGAACCTTCAACTCTGAGGTCCTGGGCTAGTCCTGAAATCACAGCCCTGCCACTAGAGAGGGCAGGTAGCACATGGTATCTCACAGGGAAAGTGGTATAAGTTTCAGTTGGTCTCATAGGGAGCTTAGAAGAGGCTGCATCAATTTGATGATGCAAGATGCCTAACAACGTCCATTCTAAAGAGAGAAAAGGCTTAAAACATAAACACGCTACTGAGAGAGCAGTAACACAGGATGGAATTTCTGCCAAGATGTCACTTTGTGTGACCAGGGTTCCCCCCACCCCCACCCCCAGAGCAATGTTAGGTTTGACAGGAATGAGGTTGGGAAACAACTCAGGAACTGAGAGAAGATTCCAGTAAGAGAACTTTCAAATGATTTTCTTTGACTTCTTCAGGCTATGACCCTTGTAACTTTCTGATGATTGATGATCGTCCAGTGAATTTAGTTTAAATTTATTTTACACTTTGTACATACTCTCAGTACAGCAACTCTGAATGTTTGAGGCTGTGAAATATTTTTGCAAGTTCTACAGGTCTCGTGCATGTCTTTGATACCCAAAATGGTCCTACCCACCAAAGCCTGGCCTGCTTCCTGCTCAGTCTTTTAGGCTCATGGTTTTAAGTGGCCCAGCAATCAAGGATTGTGTGGCCTAGCTAGGGTGAAGGTGTTAACAAGATTAGTCCTAGAAGTGATGATGAAGTCGGCAGGAACCAAGATGAAGGTGTGTTCGGTTTGGCTTCTACAGTCTTTGCCTACGCTGACCACTGAATGACTTCTCAGGGATAGCTCTAGGCCTCTGAGTTTAATAAGGACGAGCACACAGGATTGGACCTCCAGTTTGCTTCCGTTCATCTCTACCTGTGGTTTTCCAGAGAGTTAGCTGTCTTCTACCTGAATGAAAGAAGTGTAGCTTGACACCATGAACAAAGCCTTATATGCCACCCTCTTACTGATTGTTTCCGGTTGTGGACAGATGGACTTCTCAACACCAGCTCCTTCAGCCTGGAAGAGGAAGAGGAACTGGAGAGTGGAGGGTCAGCAGAATTCACGAGCTTCTCAGAAGATCTGGTGGCGGAACAGCTGACTTACATGGACGCGGTAGGTCTCTTTCTGTATCTCAGATGTGCTTCACTTAAAACATGGGGCAGGGACAACACTAGTGGCCCAGAGAGGGCAGTGAGCAACACTGGGGAATGTGCTAGAAATCCTCTGCATCTTTGAGAGAGTCTATGTCTGTAAAGGGAGAGTTAAGATGCTATGTGAATAACTCCTGTGAATAATTCAAGCCCAGCTCTTCTTGCAGTCCTGGGTGAAAGTGCATTTTCCTCAGAGCTCAGGTCACAGAGGGAAGCACGAATTCTAATCCTAGTGAAACAGAATCTCCCCTGTTCTGTAGGCATTTCTCTCCCTTCACACTCATAAATATTTCAAGAGCCGAACTGTTTATTTGGAAGATTGTAAAGGGGTCAAAGCAGAACTTAGGATGGAGTAAATTCATTGAATCCACATGTGACCACATCTGTCGCCTGTTTCCACGTGTGCTTCCTGCACGTTTGAATTTTGACTGTTTCTGTGTGCTGTGCATATTTGATCGTGCTAGTCACATTTCAAAGCTTCAAGTTTGCTGGAAAACATAGTTAAGGAATTAACAATTGTCATGGTGGTTTTACCCTTCTGCACTTAACTAAGCTCTGTCACTTTTGCAGCATATGAAATGGCCAGTGTTTCCATCTAAGGGCAAAGAAAATACAGCATGGAAAGCGGATCAGAGAGTCTATATGGAGCACATGCTGGGTGGAAAGTAGATCAGATAGTCTATATGGAACACATGCTGGGCATCTTTCTTTTATACAAACTTTTACACATCTTGTATTGAGTTTTACAAATGGGAATCTGATCTATTCAACTATGGTTTTTTTTGGTCATACAACTGATAGAATAAGAAAAAGACGAAAAAAGAAAAAATATCTCATTTTTATTGCTTTAAGGAAAAGACCTGGAAACAAGGCCTTAGGCTCCCTATGCTTCTGTGTGGTTTGTGAGGTTGAATTCTTCCTCTCTTCTGCTAGTATGTTTCTCTGCCTTGAAAAATGAGAAGCAGTCACAGTGAAAGATGAGGCATGTGCTATGCTATGTGGACTTCTTTCCAGGTGGGCAAAGGACATCTATTTTCGTGGTAGATGACTGGTGGTTCTTGAGTGTCCGGCACACACGATGTGATTTTTGAGGTTGAAATAACCATCGCCTTTTTTCTCTTTTGATCAGTAGCACAGATCTTAATAGAATTACTTGACTTTCTGTGAAAATATGTAAATAAAAATGGCTTTGGTTATTTTTATTTTCTTTCTGTAAGTTTTTTCTCAGTTAAGCAAATTTGAAAGATCATGTGAGGTCCAGGTGTGGTGGCTCATGCCTCTAATTCTAGCACTGGGGAGACAGAAGCAGGTAGATCTCTGTGAGTTCGAGGTCAGTCTAGTCTACATAGTGAGTTCCAGGATAGTCAGGACTACAAAGAGAGATCCTATTTAAAAAGAATCTAAAACAAACAACCGTAAACATAAACAAACAAATGTCATGTAGCATGTCAAGTAGAAAGATAATTTATCCACTTAGAAAACACCATTTACAGATGTCCTAGATGACACATGTGTCAAGCATCTGTGTTTTCCTTAATGCCAGTTCCTCTTTTGTTGCAGCAACTATTCAAGAAAGTAGTGCCTCACCACTGCCTGGGCTGCATTTGGTCTCAGAGGGATAAAAAGGAAAACAAACATTTGGCTCCTACGATCCGTGCCACCATCTCCCAGTTTAATACCCTCACCAAATGTGTCGTCAGCACCATCCTGGGGAGCAAAGAACTCAAAACTCAGCAGAGAGCCAAAATCATCGAGAAGTGGATTAACATTGCTCACGTAATTATCTTATAAAAATTCCTTGTGTTTGGTAGATGGCCTTCCTGAGGCCCTGTGACTTAACACCCGAGTTCTTAGAAATGATTATGCTCTTCTGGGACTCAGAATCTAATCTATTGGAGCTGTCACCATTCACAAGTCATGTGACTGGCATCTGTCACCATGCAGAGAAAGGCACAGTCTCCAAGTCATTGTTCTTCTGTTTGTCAGTTCCCAATGTGTTTGAGTTCCAATATTATATAGGGATCTAAGAAGCTCAATCACAATTGATTTAGCTGTACAGGACTCAGACTTACTGAAATGACCTCCACCTATGCAGGAGAGGGGTCAACAATATGAATCTCATAGACGTGGAGGAGGGAAAAGTTACCTCTGAGTAAGGTGATCAAGGAAGATCACATGAATGAATTTAGCTTCATCTATCAAACAGTAGGATTTTAGGTACTTGAAGATGAAAGTTTTCTCCTAGGCAAGAAGAATCTACAGTAAAAATGAAAAAAATGATTGTGAAATTAGTTGATATATAAATACCCTATTTGTTTATTATGTTCTGGGCTATGGTTAACCCTCAACCAAAACAAAACATATTTTGCTTCATGTCTCATTAGATGTATTTTTCCACTAAGTCTGGTTTATAGGGCATAATGCCCGAATCCTTCACATTTTCTTTTATTGTTTTTAACCAAAGAGTAAAGCCACAAAAGTTGCAGAGAATTTGCCTTTTTTTTGAGTTTTTCGGATGACCCCATACATGCTAGTGTCTGAAAGAAATGAGCAGGAACAAACATAGACGTTGTAAAGAACTTACATCTTTTCTGTTCTAAGTCAAACTTATTTCCCTACAAACATAACCACAAAAAGTTTTGAGGGACTAGCATGGAATAGCTCTTTCTTCTTAGAATTATAAGAAGGTATTTTTGCCACTACATTATATCTCAAAACTAATGGCCTTTATGCCCAAATTCATTGACCTACTTAGACTGCAAAAACCCAGCATCCCTGTGTGTGGCTCAAATAACGACTTTCAGTTGACATTAAATATAGATTGTGTGTTTATATGCTAAGGAAACTGTAGATAACTCAAAGTGTATTCTACATCCCATAGCATGTTTACAAATCCAGAAAGCTTTAACCTTGCTCTTAAAGTGGGCTTTTCCCCAGTGTTGAGTATGTTATGTCTCTTGAAATCATGTAGAATAACTTCATAAAACCTTGAAACTCACAAGTGGTTTTCTGCCAAGATTTATTTTATTCTTCTCTCATTAGTCACAGTTGATTTCTATTGAAAAGAAGTTGGAAAATGATATTAATTTTACATGTAGAAATAATTTCTGACCTAATATGGGTGTGTATTCTTGGCCTGGCTCTGTGCTGCATTTTTGGTTTTGCACTGCATCTTCTGGAATATGCCTCCTTTTTAAAAAACATGACTGGATGCTTCATGTGTTCTCTTAAGCCCAGCCTCAGCCTGTTACTGAATAATGTGTTCCATATGTTTAATACGATGGACATGATATATCAGGGTCTGGGTGTCTTTATTTATTGCAAGTTTCCTGATTTTTAGAACATAATTTTGGAATGCTGAACCTTTGTTGAACCATGCTGTCAGAGTGTGGTTTCCAGACAGCAGCAGCTCTCCACTCTCCCTCCCTCCTTCCCTCCCTCCCTCCTTCCCTCCCTCCCTCCCTCTCTCCCTCCCTCCCTCCCTCCCCCTCCTTTCTCCCTCCCCCTCCTCTTCCCTCCTTCCTTTCCTCCCTTTCTTCTTCCCTTCTCCTTTCTGTCTTTCTTCTCTCTCTCTCTCTCTCTCTCTCTCTCTCTCTCTCTCTCTCTCTCTCTCTCTCTCTCTCTCCCTCCCTCCCTCCCCCCTCTCTCTGTCCCTCACTTCTTTTACCTCACCTTCCTTCCTCCATCCCCTCTCCCTGCCTCTCTCTCTCTCTCTCTCTCTTTCTTTCTTTTTTTTCTTTTTAAATAAAGGGGCCATCAGGACATTTTTAAAGACTGGGCATGAATGGCTTTCATAAAATGCATTTAAATTTATTCTGAAGAAAACCTTTGAGGGTTTGGTTGGCATCAAAGATTTTGTCACTCCAAATTGGAGAATTTTTTTCCCTCCATGGTGAAGACCAACATTACTTAGCAAAATGATTCTTGAAGCAATTTACACTTACACCTAATCACCCTGGCGTGTCTTGCCTGGGTTGTCCTGCATGAAGTCAAACATGTACTCATCAGTGTACTCAATTGTAAAACCTGGATACAGTGCACTCCTGTGTACTTCTGTGTAAAGTGTATTCTCTGACATTTACACAACGTGGTCAGCCCCCAGGCCAGCCAGCAATGAGATTGGTTTCCTGGTTTACTGGCCCTGCTATTCCATAGAAGTTTTTTTTTTTGCCTCCAGGGTTGATGACTGCTTACACATGGGCTTGGCCCTATGGTAGGATACATTTAAGCAAGGAACCCCTCTCCTTACCCAGAAAATGACACCTAGGATCTTTCCTTCTCTCTTTCTGTTTTGTTTTTAAAACACTGCCAAAATGAATCTTATTTTAAAAGTTCAAGTTATTTTGGAAGCATTGAAGTACCAAGGTGTTTTTGGATGTTTACGATTGTGGGACAAGCCAATTTGAAACCAAATGGATGTGTATAAAAATATTCTCCCTTGGTTAAGAGCATGAAAGCCGAAGTTCAACTTGTGGTGAATTTTTATTGCCAAGTTATATACACGTCCCAGGGCACGAGCTCTTTGTACCATCTGAACTGCTGCCCAGCTCCCCCAGGTAGCCGCAGGGCACAGTGATCCTCTGCATGTATTTTTATGGTATCCTTGTTCTTTCTGCAAACGACAGTTGTGTTCTCTAGCAGAGCCGTGTATGCTTGCCTCCTCTGGCTGTTTTTACTGGGAAAGCTGGAGACTATAAAACTGTAACAACAACACAAAAATATATCGGGGGAGAGGGGAAAGACAAGCTTGTGGTGCCAAAATCTATAAAGTGTTTTGGTGACTGGGGCGGGAGGAAGGAACCACTTTTTGATGTCCAGTATTTATACAGCTGCCTATTTAGTGGTAAGAATTCATAGCAGCTGTAATACCTCTAACACAGGAAACCAGCAACCCACTGTAATACTGATATTTAAATGCCTTTTATGTCTCTGTCACTCCCTGTACAGGAATGTAGAATCCTGAAGAATTTTTCCTCCTTGAGGGCCATCGTTTCTGCACTGCAGTCCAATTCCATCTATCGGTTGAAAAAGGCTTGGGCTGCGGTCCCGAAGTAAGTTCCCCAGTGCCGGCTCAGTTTTCCTCTGTCAGGTGATCGGTTGCTGCTTCCGTACTATGGGTGCTTACCATCAGAACACCTATTAGGTGACAAGAGAAACATACTTGAAACCCTGTGTGTGTTTCAGGAAGGGCACATTAATGGATGTCGAGGGAGGGCAGCTGCAGCTTCACACTGATTCTTGGTGTGTGTGCCAGAGCCATGATTACCAACCTTGGGGATGGTTTGAAGGGTGTGCTTAGCATCTGGATCTTGAGGGACGAGGCGGTGGAGTGATGAGTTGGGCAGTTCGAATGACTTCTGGTTGGTTTTTTGGTCCCATTCCATAGCCCTAAGCTGCTGCAGGATGTGAGGGATAATGTGCAGCTAGGACCTTAGTTCCTGGTGGTCACTAGGAAGCCACTGTGTTCACTTCTGCTTCAGCATACAAAGAGCTGTTTTAGGTGGGGGGCTTCTTGCAAGGTGCCTTACTGCGATTTTCAACTACTAACATCCTGTGCTGTGTTTCCTTCATACTTCCTAGTTCAATCTTTGGAATAACTGGGAACACGGTGTGACCCTGTTCTATCACCATTGCTGTTTCTTCCACTTCTGGAACTTTCATTGTGGACTAGAGACTATTTCTTTTCCAAAGGAAGAGACACAAATTTAGAGGGTGTCTTAGAGTTTCTACTGCTATGATAAAAACACCATGACCAAAGGCAACTTGGGGAGGAAGGGGTTTATTTCACCATATAGTTTACAAGTCCATCATCCAGGGGAAGTCAGGGCAGGAACCTGGAGGCAGGAACTGATGCAGAGACCATGGAGGAATGCTGCTTACTGACTTGCTCAGCCTTCTTTCTTATCTGGGATGGCATCCCCCACAGTGAGCTGGGTGCTTCCATATCTATCATCAATCAAGAAAATCCCCCCCCACAGACTTGCCTGCAGGCCAATTCATGGAGGCATTTGATTACCATCCCTTCTTCCCAGAATACCCTTGCTTGTGTCAAGTTGACATGAAAACCAGCCAGCCCAGAGAGTATGCCTTGTGTCATGGGTACCAGCTGGGTTAGCTCCATCCAGACCTTCCCAGGCTTGAACTAGTGAGGCTGTCAAGATTCATCACGAAGAGTGTGGGAACTTCCTATCTTCCCTGTCTGCAGCATAGTCACTGTTGAGCAGGAGGGAAGTCAATGGACTTTCTAGCTATGTGCTTAGGCTGCAAGCCCTAGATGCTTAGTTCCATCATCAGCCAGAATTGATTAAACCCTAAGAGACTGATATTGTTTGTGCTAGCTAATGACTTGTTTGGTCACTGCTACAAAATGCCTGAGCAAAGCAACTTAAGGAAGAAAGCACTTATTTTGGTTTACAGTTCTGGGGGATATAATAGGCGTCGCATTAGGAGCAGGAAGTGGCTGGTCACATTGTATCTACAGGTAGAAAGCAAGCAATGAATGCTTTACTGAACTTAATTTTTCCTTTTTGTTCAGCCCAGGACTCCAGTGTGTGGGATGGATGGCCCATATTTAGGGTGGTATCATAGTTGCTCTATTACTGTGGAGACCAAAGCAATTTATGAAGGAAGGCATTTAAATGGGGGCTTGCTTGCAGTTTCAGAGGATTAGTCCACAGCCAGCATGTCAGGAAGCATGGTGGCAGGCGTGCGTGCCTCTGGAGCAATAGCTAAGAACTTACGTCTTGATCTGAAGACAGGGGAGAGGGGAGACTGAATCTGGCATGGACTTTGAAACCTCCAATACCACCCATAGTGACACATCTCCTCCCACAAGGTCACATTTCTAATCCTTCCCACACAGTTCTGCCACCTAGGGACCCCCAATTCAAACCTGTGAACCTAGGGAGGTCATTCTGGTTCAAACCACCACAGATGGGGTTTTCCATTCAACCATATCTCCATATCTAGTTGTTTTTTTAGAAATATACCCTTAGATATATTTCCATGGTGATTCTAATCATCACTATCTTATCCTGTAAGAGGCCCACCCATATTGACAAACCAAGAGCATCATAAGTTTATGCTGGAAAATGGGTGCCAGAGGACTCAAGCTTACAGATGAGATGAGAAGCGACTTTTATTGGTTAGCTAATTCTCTGATGCTAAAAAAAAAAGAATTATAATGAATGATAGTAGTCCCAGCACATGGAAGGAAGAGGCAGTTGAGTTGGATGCCAGCCTGATCCTTATAGCAAGTTCCAAGCTAGCCAGGGCTACATAATGAGACCTCGTCTTAGAAAACAAATGTGAATATGCTTTGAGTTACAGAGCTGTACAATCTACAACCACCTGGACCACAGAGTTCCAGCTGTGTTTGTGATACCATTATCTGTCAAAACAAAAATGGAAGCCAAGGTTTTCAAGACCACTGCACTTTTTTTGACTACTACTCTTGCTTTTCTTCCTCCCTCTCCTTCTTTACTATTTTCAGTAGTGCCTGCCACTCTGCATGAGAGAGATTAGTTGGTTCATTTTCCTCTGAACATACATTTAATGAAGATATAGGTTCCACAGACTCATTAGTTGGCTGCTCCCGGTAAAGTCGGAGGGGAAAATCAGAAGCCTGTGTCCTCCATACCTTGGCATTACCTTCCCTCCCCCTCATTACTATTCATCATAAACAAAGGAATGGTCAAATGCTAAAATCCATCCTTGTCTGACTTCAGTGAAAGACGATCATGGCTTTCATTGGTGATTGACTAGTTCCACTCTACGGAAAGTCGCCTAGCTAGCCCAAGATTTCCTTTGCAGCAGGTCTGAGTCTTAAACTACAAGTTCAAAAACTAGTGCACATGGGGGCTGGAGAGATGGCTGAATGGTTAAGAGCACTGCACATTCCTGTAGAGGACCCAAGTTCAGCTCCCAATACCCACAGTTATCTGTAAGTTTAATTCCAGATGCCTCTGGGCTCTGAGGGCACTGTGCTAACACACCTCACCCCCACACACACATAAACACGAAATGAAAGTAATATAAATTAACCTTTAAAATAACAGCCTTAGGTTCTTGGGTTGCTGAAGAGAAGATCCATTCTTTCAGTTGGCTTTTAAAACAACTTTTCAAGAACAAAAAAAATAAAAATAAAAAAAATCTCAAAACTGAATCCTGTTGGACATGTGTGATTTGTTGGCTGGTTGGCTTACGTTTTAGAAAGGTTGCCATAGAATATCACTGAAGCCCTTTCTGTATCAGTGTTATGTGTTCTCTGTGGCTAAATTCAGGGAGGTAGAGTCAGGATATCTTATTTACTAACTACTTTTACTATAATCCTTTACATTGCTTGCTTTCAGTAGACAGAGGTAGATACGTACTTATTTCTTTCATTGAAATACTTGTATAGTTAAGTTCTTAATTGTTTTCTCCAAAACAGAAATAGCTTTTATGGTTTGGTCAGACAAATAATATTATATTCATTACTATGCAGACAAGTCTTCATAGTGGACTTTTATGATAATGAAGATGTTGTATACTTGGGGATTTGACTGCTAGTCATTTGTGACCTTCAGAGTCATCCATTCAGTGATTGTGGAGAGAGATGTGTGCAGACAAGTGGAGTGCTATTGGAGAGCAGTGCAGGGGGAGGGACATGAGTCTCACGGGTTTTTTATATGTGTCATACTTCAATCGTTTCCCTATGTACAGACAAGAAATTTGAAACATAGCAAAGTTAAGCAACTTGTCCAAGATCACCAAGGAAGTAAGTAGGTTTGAACCCATCCCTCATGGCTATAGGATCCATCATGGTTCTACTAGTCTACTCTGAGAATAAGAATATGGGCCCAAGATGCGGAACATTTGGGCTCTATATCTGCAGCTCTCAGCAGTTACTAGTGAGAACTGGGGCAAACCCTTGGCCATGGCGTCTTCCTCTCTAAACTTAAGTGTCTGGCCAAGATGACTTCTGGAGGACTCTGTATGTATTTTGGGGATAAATGCTTCTTAAACTTACTTAAGGGAATATCTCTCTAAAACTTGATGCTTCAAGTGAATCATTTAAAAAATTAAATATGTATGACTTAGAACATTTCCACGTTCATCTTTTACAAAAGCTATCCACATGAGTTCACTCATTACCTCCATTAGTGTTTACATCTCCCACCAATCCCGAGGCAGTCTTTCATGGGAATTCATACTGAAGATAACTAAGCTTCAGATGTCATATTTTTGCTATCTGTTGTTTACTTTTTCTTCATCGTTGTTCATAGGGACCGGATGCTGATGTTTGAAGAACTTTCAGATATCTTCTCTGACCATAATAACCATCTAACCAGTCGGGAACTACTCATGAAGGTGAGGATCCTGGGCAGCTCTGAGGTGGCTCTGGGAAGAGTAGATTGAAGCTATTTGCATTCCTTTTAACCTCCCAGGAAAGCAGAATTTTTATCTTCTATGTAATCTAGGAAACTTGGGACTGAGAGAATTCAAAGCCCAGTTGAGCTTTCTCCTTCTACCCTTCCTGCTTCCACCCACATGATTGAATCAGAACTGGGGTTAACAAGCAGCCACTCAGTGCTACAAGTTGCATGAATGAGAGCCCTTGGAATATTCCTTCTCAGCAAAATGGCTCTTAGAATGACAGAGGGCAGCCTGCAATTCCATGTCCTTTTTTTTTTTTTTTGACCAAATTGCACAATATTTTTCAGTCAGCAATGTTTATTGAACACTAGATAAGTGGTGACTCCTGAACTGCCTGCTAGCCAAAGGGATGGCCTGACTCATTCATTATACGTCTCTAGAAATGTGCTCAATGCCTTGAATTTATAAAACTTTGAATTTGTCTTTAGAAATATGATGATTTATAAAACAGCCTCTGTGTCTAGGAGTTCACCCGTAGTTGAGGACTGTGGACACTGCACAATAATTGCTCACACCATGACAAATAACTTCATGCACACTCAGTGGGGAGTTAATATAGGCCAGTTATTCTCTTCACAGCTTCCTACCATCTAAATTTTGTCATCATTATTTTGTAGATATCCAAGACCCACAGGTGAATGTAATGGCCCTAGTTCCTAAGGTGCACACCTAACATGCAGTATAGCTGAATTGTAAATCCAATTTAGAGACAATCAAAGACCTGTGCTTTATTTCCTGATGCCTGATATAGTGCCTTATGTGAAACACACACACAGAAACCGCTGTTTGACTGTGTGGATTAGTGGGCTTGTCATTCACATACTTTTCTATTTTTCCTGCTCTGGTTCCTTCTTGGAGTAGATGATACAGGATGGGCAGCTTATGCTGATGTCTGACTTTGGCTTTGGATTAACTGCACACTAAACAATGATTCATGCGATTGCATTACTCCTTCTTTCACGTCTTTCTGGATTCACAGACTTTAAATGGAAACCCATCTGGCTGGAAGGACATGGCTTAGTGGCCTCCCAGTCTGCAGCACAGAGCTAGACTAACTGGAGCCGCACACTGAAATCCCAATAGCCCTGAATCATCCTTCCAAGGCAGATAAATTGAATTGTGTGCAGTTCATTGCCTGGTGACAGTCTTCTGGCTGAAACCTTAGATGCAGGCTATATCTAGACATTAAAGATCCCATAAACCTTTCTCAGATGGAGACATCCACCTCGGTACTGTAAGTTAAATGTCATATAAGGCTCCAGTTCCAATGAACTGCAAAACTTGGCGATGAGTTCAGGTGGCCTGTACATTGTCATGCATGCTGGTGGAATGCTTTGCGTAGTCCATATGTGTGTGTAGATCCCTTTCCCATCATCTCTGTTGATCATTATTCATGTGAAGTGTATAGTTCTGGGTGTAACTTCTCAACACAGTTGTAAATAATGAGATCAAGGTACTTAAGTTCTCAAAATAAGCACTAAGAAAAACTACTGGGCCCTGTTTCTAATATGTTACTCCTAGACTCTGATTTATAGTTGGGTAATCTTAGTTTTAAATGACCTATCTTCTACTTCAGGGTAGATGTAATATGTCACTTCTCTAATATTATGACCCAGACAACATAATGTCTAGTAAACATTTGTGGTTTTCCTTCTAACTGTTGAGAAAGTTTTTTTCATTTCTTTTCAAAGACTGTCTTATGTTTATAATTTATTAAACCTTATGATTTCTGAAACTTAGAATAATTACAGATCATTGAATCTATAGATTTCAAAACAACAGAAAGCAGGATGCCACCAACTCGTGGTTCTTGTGCCTCATGGTGGATAATAACTATCCCTGGTTGCTTTAATATGAACAACTTCTAAAAAACCTCCAGGAGTCTGGCTCTGGGGGAAATGAATGGTGAGTGAAGCTCTACAATGTGTTCATATTGAGGTCAGAGCAAGAGTCCATTCACACTGCGAACACCCATTCAAACCACAGTTTCTGGTAGCTTCTGAGCCACAATGTCACCATCATATCTTAAAATTGAGCCAGTACCCAGCAGTCAAAGTCATTGGAGACCTCGCATTAAGTTTCTCTGAGGCACTGCAACAGCATGAAGGCAGCTGGAGTCTGCAAAAGCAGAGATAAAGGAAAGTGAGACAAAGGGGAGAGACTCGCACTAGGGAGAAGGTCAGCGGTGCGGAGGCCAGGAGGAGCGAGGATTGGTGTGAGAGGCTGGAGGAAGCACAGGGAGAAATTTGAAATCCACCGGCACAGAGGTGATGACTGAAGTCACTTCCCAATGATACCAGTCTGTTGGAAAACAAGATGACTTGGGAAGATGAAGAGTAGCCAAGAGTGTGAATGTGAGCCTCGAAGGAGGCAGGAGCAAAGACCCAGAGTGCTGTATTACAGGAGCCCACGGATGGCTTGATGGAGGTGGTGGGATGGTTATGTAAAGAATTTCAGGCCAGGCGAGGATACAAATACTGGATATGACAATTGATTGGATTTCTAGTTGACATTCCACTGGGAAAAAGCAGGCAGTTACCAGTCGCCTTTTTTTTTTCCTTTTTATTTAGACATCATCTTACAGTCTGGTCCAGGCTAACCTTGAATTCATGGTGTATTGCAGGCTGGCCTTGAACTCATGATCCTTCTGTCTTGACCTCCCAATTGCTCAGGTTACTGGAGTGCACTGCTCATGGCTGACTCATCAGTTTTGTGGTAGTGCTGCAGCAGGGATGGACTCTCATTTTCAGGGAGCCAAGTCATGAAGTCAACAAATCTTGCTCCTCATCTCTGGTCCTTTTCTCTCCTGCTCATAGGAGGGTGTGTTCAGTGCTCCTTAAGATTCCTCTGTTGTTTTATGATTCTTAGGTTTAACTTTTTAGAAGTCCTTATTAAGAATTTTAGATAAACAGGGCATGGTGGAGTACATTTTTAGTGCCAGCACTTGGGAGGCAGAGACAAGTGACTCTTTGTGGGGCCAGTCTGTTCCATATAGCGAGTTCCAGGCTAGCCAGAACTACACTGTTAAACTCTGTATTAAAAAAAAAGAATTTTAGACAAATCTGAAATAATTTCCAGTACTTATCTTAGTTCTGGGAGAAGAGGAAGAGGCTAGTGCCTGCCTTCAAGTCAGCAGAATTGATTTCTCACTCCAAACTAGGACTTACGCGTCACCACCTGCTATGAGTCCCTAGGAAAAGCTGTGTGGACTGCCATTAGATGCTGACTCTCGCTCTTTTCATCTGTAAGAGGTGCCACTGAGATGGGTCCTGTTCGCCAGTGGCATGCCCCAGACAGGGTCACAGCTGGCAAATGACAGAATGTATTTATGCCTTGACACTATCAGTCAGGCCCTGATGCTGAGAAAGAGTCCGTTTGTAATTGTATGCTAATATAAGGTCACATGCTTATAATGCAATAAACCCGAGAGAAACTAAGGAAAAACTAATATAGAGGTTACACTGAATTGCAAAATCATCTTCCATTCATGCAGTTCCTGGAAAATGAGAACTTAACAAGACCCTGAAACCACACAACTGAAACATTTTATGTTCAGTCAGCAAACGCATGGTTACTGGTTAGGTAGAAGCTCAGTTCTTGTGCCAGGCAGCAGGCAGCATGCAGGGAGCATGGATGGTCATCCGTCCTCAGACCCCAAGAAGGGTAGACTTGTAAGAGTCTGGTGAGACATCTTAGGAGGACTAAGGGAACCCTGCAAATGGCTTGCCTTTCATTAATTGGGGTGTACCCAAACACTGAACTTCCTCAAAATCTTGCTGTGCAAAGGTTTCATTTAGCTAAGAAGTACCACACAGTCCCCTTCCTTCATAGGATGCTGGCACATTCATTCCAGGCCAAGATAAAGAAGCCATAAAATGTGCAGGAAGAGAGCTTCATTTCTAAGACATAGGATTACTTGGCATGAAACCCCAGATGTGTGTAAAAAAAAAAAAAAAAAGCCTCCCATTTTAGGAATCACCTACCTTGTGTTGATGATTGATTTTTCTCGTGAAATTAGGATCCCTGCTTTTACAGAGTGGGGGAAGAGTAGCATAATACCCGGCCACCAAGTGCAGAGACTAGTCTGCAGCACGGCCCCTACCACAACCATAGCACAGGCTGAAGGCCTTCAGGAGGCCTCTTCATTTGCATGGCATCCTGAGACACAGGAAGAGATTGTATTCTAGAACCTAGATTTCCTCTCTTCTGATTGGCACCCTCCATGACTCTCCTTGGTGGACGCTCTGTTTCTTAGGAAGGAACCTCAAAGTTTGCAAACCTGGACAGCAGTGTGAAAGAAAACCAGAAGCGGACTCAGAGGCGGCTGCAGCTGCAGAAGGATATGGTATGTCTGCCCCGTCCTCTGGCAGGAGAGCAGCCCTGTATACTTGGCTAGGCAGCTGGCACGTGACCCCAGCATCCTTCTGCAGGGCATCCACACTTGTCAAAGGTCTCTTTCATTTTGACTTGCCCTGGGAAGTTTTTAGCAAAAGTGTTAGACCCAGTGAGAAATGAATACCAAGAGCTGCAAATCCTACAGACGCCCCTCCACCAAATGATGAAGAAAAGTGTGCAGCGGGCATATCTCCATCCCTCTTGCCATCCCCCACCCCCTTTTACACTTGCTGCTGTTGCCACTTCGATCAGAAGCCTCATCAGCTTTGGGTATGCAATGACCGAGGCAAAAATGTCTCTGGCTAGGAAGATTTGGTCCTTGTATTTAGAGATCATTTCCTTTGTTCCCAAGCTCCCTAATCATCGCCTAGCTCTGCTAATTCTGGGTCCTAACTGGACCTAGTTCAGTTCTCAGAGAAACCAGACCTCCTTCCTGAGGGCAGAAGGATAGTTATTATGGCCTTTGGCTCCATCCTTAAATCCCCAGCTTCTAGCAGAGGGTGTGGGGACAGGAGGAGAGATTAGAGATTAGACAGATGAATATTTTTAACCTGGACTGGTGAGAACTTTCCTTAGGGCTGGACATAAATTAGCAATATTTTTGAGGGTTAGAACTCTTCTGTAACCTAAGGCTGATAGGACTCAAAAGTGTTTCACATTTTTTGTTGTTCAAAGACAGTTAAAAATAGCTGCTACTGAGGGAGGGGTAGAGATTATTTTAGTTCAGGATAAGACCTTGTACACACAACGGGGAAGGACAAACTAAACTGTAGCTGACAGTACGTTTCTGAAGGACAAAGTCCTGCATGGCGTGAACTGGCTGAGGACAGAGCCCGCCTCTCGCCAAGTGGCCTGGCCTTGCCCTGGCTCAGGCCGTTCCTGCCACAGTTTCCCTAAGTACCTGCATATACAAGCTGTCTGTGCCCCGCCTACCGTTTCTTTTCCCGGAAGAACGCTTGTGCCTCAGTGGCCTTGTGGAGAACAGAGTTTCAAAGGAGACTTGATGGGATGCAAGTTAAAAACCTTTACTCATTTCTCTTCACTTTTAACATCGTCTATAATGGTGGTGTAGCAGACAATCCCAAGAAATGTACACTAACGGAAGCCTGTCAATTAAAACCCAGACTTCATTTGGAACTCACTGCTGTCTGTCCTAGGACCCAGTTCAGCATACCAGCAACACTTAGCTGTCACGATTTCTAATCGCTTCTGGTTCATGGCAGCTTCAGAGTCTTAACTTGTTTGTCTTGACCTCAACAGTCATCAGGAGTATCACCCAGGAGTCCTGTAAAATGCCCCACAGTCCGAGTTCATCTTTGTTTGTCTAGTGATTAAACTGAGGTCACACCTGTTTGGAAAGAATTTCACAGAGATGAAATACTCCTCTTGTCACATCCTGTCAAAGAATGTGGTGTCAGCGTGGCATCTGCTGTCATGTTGATGGTATCCCTGACTTGGTTAAAATAGAGTTTGTCCAATTAACCTGTGTAAAGTCACTACTCTCTCTCTCTGTTTTTCCGAAGGTAAATCACTAATAGTGATGGCCCATACTTCTTTTACTGGGAAATAATGGTCTACTCTTAATGATCCTGAGGCCATGGCTATCCGGGGCATTCCAAACAGTTGGAAGTATCTGCATACACTGAGGAGAGCAGAGCCCCCTGACCAGAGCCTGAGTTCTGGACCCAGCTGTGAACACACTTGGACACATGTGTGATGGATCTGGACAGAGGCTTGCTTTTCCTGAATGGAAGTTAGACATTAGGTCATACAGTTCCTGTCCTGTTTGTATAGGGCTTTAAAACAGTTTCAGTCCTGCAGGAGACACTAATGACTCCAAACTAGCATTGTCCAGGTTCATTTTCTCTGGTGTGTGGGTCACCAAAGGCATTAAACATTTCAGTGACAGTAAAGACAGCCTGCTCTGACTCCTCTTCAGGGTGTGATGCAGGGCACTGTACCTTACTTGGGCACCTTCCTGACTGACCTGACCATGCTGGACACTGCTCTTCAGGACTTCATTGAGGTAGGTTCTCTGCAGCTGCTTGCAGCCAAGGCAGTTCGGTGCAGCCTTCTTCTTGGCTGTATGGAGAACTTTGTTTCTCAAAGTATCTTTTTAGAGCCCACGATGCACGTGGTAGTAGGCTGGGCAGTGGGAGCACAAAACAAACACCAGAAGATGCCAGAAATGGCGCAGAGGCCAGCGAGAGGAACCACTGCTTACTGAATCAGGCAGGGTGGCTGGAAATGGTAGCAGTGTGAGCAGTAAGAAAGGCCGTGGAAGGCGAGGGAGCATGTCAGATGATGGAGGATGGTCAGGTCCATATGAAGACACGTGACTAAAATGCCTTTTGAGGGGTGGGGGCTGAGCATGGGCACTGGGGATGGACTCGAAGGGTTAATACCCCCAGCTCTCCCCGGAGAGTAAAGAATGAGCCAGACTAGTGAATTTTCGAGTAGATCCTCCTCATTCCTTTGTAATTATTGTGTCACTGTCACCTGTTCTCGAGTATACACTTGGCTCCGCCTGCTGTATTTCTTTTGCAGTGAAGGCAGGTAAATTCTACCCAAACAAGCAGCCTGTTAGTAGCAGTAAGGAAATGTTAGGTACAAAAGGATTTGATATTTGAAATGAGATTTAAAGATTATTTGTAGGGCTCAACTTCTAACTCAGAGCACATGCCTTTCACATCCTGGGTCAGTCCCTAGCAATGCCAAACAAACAAACAAATCACAGACTAAACAAAACACAGCTTCCTACAAAACAAAAGCAGCCTGTATATGTACACATTAGGTTCTCCAATGCAGCCTGCTTTGCATGTACAGCAACTGGAAAGGGAAGCTGTTTTACATACTTCCCAGTATTCTGTAAGTGGTGTAGACATGCTCATCCATTTTGCATTTCCCGAACTCGTGTGTCTCCCTGGCCTCTAGGAACTGCATGGAGTGGGCAAATATTGAGAAATTAAATGTAACCTACTGAGAATAGGGATGGTGGTGCTGAAGAATTGAAACTTAATTTCTAAATTTCCATGATGCTGTGGGGAAGTCACTTCCCTTATGATAAACCATTGTCAATTTGGTTTTTAGCATGAGTCAGTGGCATCTGTTTTTGCTGTATTGGGTCAAGCTCTTCACTAGCTTGGCAAATGTGTTGGATTCTGACGTGCAATGCCTTATCACTGCTGTTGTAGTTGGTTTCAGATTTTAAGATGGTTGCCTACCAGGAGATGACCGTCTTCCTCTGTAGTGGCCATGTTAACAAGATCATTAATAATTACAAGTCTCTCATTATTTAGTGTGACCCGCAGCAGCACAGGGCTCTATAGTTTGCTTGGTTACATTCTTTTAAACATTTCTTTCAGGGTGGACTGATCAACTTTGAGAAAAGGAGAAGGGTAAGTAGAACTCTTGCCTACCTTTTTGCCATTTTGTTTAATCTGGGCATGAAAAACTAAAAAGTGGAGACAGATTTTGTTCTTTGTTTTTGGAGAGACAGAAAATGATACCCACCAACCATTTTTAATATGAATTATGTTTGGCATGTTCCTGTACATCGCTCCAGGAGACCCCTGTAAGCTCTTTTTCCTCATCTTCAGTGAAAGGTGAGGATGGAAGAGATTGAATAGCTGGGCCAGAGTCAGCTGGTAATGAGCAGAATTCAGATTTTGTCCAGTGGCAAAGCTTATTAATAAATTAAAGGTAGTGTAGAGCCGGTGCATAGCTCAATGGGAGGGCCCTTGACCTAGCATGCATAAGGGCTTGCATTTGATCCCTAACACACACACACACACACCGATTGAGAGATTTCTTTTCTTACCTCTGCCTCATCTCCTTCTTTGCAGTTACTTTTAGAAAAACAGGTTTACTCTATAGTTAGTAATAATGTATTATGCATGTGAAAATTATTACTGAGAATAGATTTTGAATATTCTCCTACAAAGAAATATGTGAAACACTTACTTAATATGTTATTAAGCTTGATTTAGTCATTCCACAGCAAATACCTATTCTAAAATATCACGTTCACACCTTGAATATATGGTTTTTGTTTGCTTGTTTTTGTTTTTGAGACAGGGTTTCTCTGTGTAACCTTGAATGTACTGGAACTAGCTCTGCAGTTCAGTCTGACCTCGAACTTAACAGAGATCAGCCTGCCTCTGCTTCTCAAGTGCTGGGATTAAAGGCGTGCGCCACTACCATCCAACATAAGCATTTTTTTTTCTCAGTTGAATAAAAAGCAAGTTCATCTATTAAGGAAATAAGTTTCTAAGAGTGAAAGACATTAAGATGGTTACTCCCGTGGATTTGTCTGGGTGTGAGAAGGACATCGTCAGTCTTCCCCATTAGATGTAGGTAGTTATCTTTTATCTTTCCTGTCAGTATAGGAAGAATGTTCTATATCATACTTGAATCTTTCTATGGGTAGAATAGTTCTGCACTGTTTTTTTTTTTAAAGTATAATGCGATAGGCATTTGAATGTTTGAAAGGAAAATGAGTGAGAGCTGTCACTACCCTGTAGTGTTCACTGTCTTTTACTCTGTCTCCATCCTTTCGTTCTCCCAGCACTGATTCTGTACCTAACAGGGAGTTTGGAAACTTCTTCTGTGAGAAACCAGAGCTCCCTACCCTCATGAAGTCCACAATCCAGGACAGAGACAGGCAGATGAGCAGCCAGCCATAATTCATCTTCATCCGAGCTCAAAGCAGAACTGGAGGGTCTTAGAGAAGTACAGAGGAGGCAGAGTCCAGTCTCAGCTTGAGGCCAGAGAACAGTGCAGGAGCAGAGAACCTGGGGAGTGATGGGGCATGGGCTAGCCTCCTCAGCAACAAGATACCAAAGGACTGGCCGGAGCTTTCTGTCCCTTGTCCACTGAGCCTTCTGTGGCATGGTGGTATAAACACCCCACAACAGCACTGGATTAGGGATAAGACCACTGACTTGAAGGCTGAGATCCAAAGACTCCACGAGCTCTTCAGTTGCTTCCGTCATGTCCTGTTATGCCTCCACAACGCCCCGCGCCGGGCCCTTAACTTCAGCATAAACCTGGAAACCACTTTCCTTTTAAGACTAAGAAGTTAAACATTTGCAAAGTTTGCATATGAAAGCTAACGCTACAGTTTGTCCTGATGGCTGACATTTAAAAAGGGACCTTGAAGTGTGTGAAGAGGTGTAAATAATTTTGGACGTAATTATGTATTTGCTTCTCTTGTTCTCATGTGAGCTTTAGAAGGTTAGCGAAATGATTTACTGAAGTAGTAAAAACCCAAGGATTTGGGGAACCTAAACATTAAGCTTTATGAGACCGGTACTGTTTAGATGGCCAGCCCTACCAGTGTGTATTTATAATGAGGAGAAAGGGTTGGAGAAGTTACGGGTGGGAGGCTGGGAGCGTCATGGCCTGAAGCATTGCTTTCCTTCCCTTTCCTTTCCTTTTCCTTCCTTCCTCTCTCCCTCCCTTTCTTCCTTCTCTTTCTTTTCTTCTTTCTTTTTTTAAGAAATAGGAGTAAAACCTATTTCATCAATTTTACACTTAAAAGAAAAAAATCCCAAGAATGGAAATAGGAAGGAAAAGGTGCTCTTATAAGTTGAGTTGGTGACTAATTGGGCTTCTTTTGATGGTTTTTTAATCTTAAGATTGTTTTTCAAGGAGAAGAGAGCAGAAGCATACAAGGCCTTCAGGAGTTTTAAGTGATACATGTGTGTATTTTAAATTTATTTTGTCTGTGGTACCAGAGATTGAACCCAGGGTGTTGTGTATGCCAGGCATACCCTCTGCCACTGAACTCCACCCCATCCCTGAGTTAGAGTTTAGGGTTTATTCATTTACTTTCTACAGCAGCAGAATTTCACAGTCCTCTGCAATGGTTTTCTCCCCATTTTACCCCTTAGGGTGTTACAGTTCCATGTTGAAAAGACTTGTATTTGTTGTATCTTATTCCTCAGTCTCCTTTTGGTTTTCTGTCTGCTTTAGGAATTTGAGGTGATTGCTCAGATAAAGCTCCTACAGTCTGCTTGCAACAGCTACTGCATGACCCCAGACCAGAAGTTTATCCAGTGGTTCCAGAGGCAGCAGCTTCTAACAGAGGAGGAGAGGTAGGCTGAGCTGTGTATCACCTGTCAGGGTGGAACTGTGGTGTGGTTAGAGACTAGTAGTGGCCAGAAACTTGTTTGGTCATCTGTTCAATGGCTCTTGGATGGCTGTTCTAGGGTCCTGGGGCCTTGGTTTCCAGAGGGAAGCTAAGCTGACAGGACTAGTGAATGGGCTTTCAAGTCTTGTCATGTAACTCAGCTTTGAAAACTTGAACCATTCCTTTATCCTTCCTCATCTTTAGGATGCCTGTATATAAAATGTTTAAGTATAAAATCATATTCTGGGAAGCACTATTAGAATGCTAATCATGCTTGACACCATCACTACCACTGTCATATCACAGAGTTCACAGCGTTAGCTTTCAGGGAGAGAGGAGGGGGAGAGGAAGAGGAAGAAGAACCCATGGGAACCTGAAATAGAGAGTAACTGAAGTGCTGTGGCTCCTATGGGCAGGAGCAGTTCATTGGCTAAGGACTGATGTCGGATGGGGATGATTTACAGATATTACCAGGTAGGCTAGGCTGTGAAGAGAGATTGCACTAGAGGAGCCAGTGAAGAACATTCCAGACACAGCAAGACAGGAGCGTGAGCTAAGGCCTGGTGTCCTGGCAGGTGTGGTGTTCGGAGGGCAGTGGTGCTTCTGGTGTGGGTGAGGCATGGGGCATAGATTTCAAAACATGGAAAGGCTCATAGAGTCTAGCTAGTGCTTTGGATACTGGGCCTGCAGGTTAAGACCTTCCCTCTAATCTGGTGGCTGTCATATGTGGCCCACTGCCTCTTTTCACATTTTAAGTGTCAGAAGGGAAAAAATAAAAGAAGAAGAATATGGCATGGGATAGTTATTTGAAATTCAAATTTCAGGATCCACAAATAACTCGTTAACGAAATATGGTCCATTCATTTACATTTTATCTATGGTTGTTCTCATGCATTAAAGACAGACCATACGGCCCGCATCCTAAAATACTTACTCTCTGGTCTGATTCAAAGAAAGTTTGCTGATCGCTGAGTTAGACCTGAGGTTTTCTTTGAGGATTTATCATAAGGAAGAGTAAAATTGACAGCACAATAAGTATTTGCCAGTGAGGACTCGAGGGCTTTGAGGGGTACTGTAGCTGGTTATGGCAGGCTGCCTGATTACCACCTCAGCTTTGAGGTGGCATGACGATGGGCATCATGACCCATCTGCCTACTCACCATGTACCGGTGCTAGTTACAGCTACAAGCTTTCACCGGAAGCACTTCAAATCAGAAACTCCTCTTGTCCTTGCCTCAGTTGCTGTTTGCCTGGCGTACCAGAATCTGAAGCCCCAGCACTTTTAATTGAGAAAGTTTGGGCAATTAAAGATAAGGCTGTAGTTATATCTATGTATCTTTATAAATAATATAATTGCTTATGTCTATTCACCAATAGTTAGGTATTTTACAAAAACGCCTCCTTCCGTTTTCCTATCATAAAAATATGTGCGTGTGCACACATGTGCACATACACACAAACACATTAGAAGGAGGAAGCAGAAAAGAAATGGGGTGGGGCTCATTGGGGAGGAGGATTCTTCCTCTGGCCTTGCGATGGGATGAGGGTGATCAAGGGGCAGGCTGCAGTCAGCTTCTGCTGCCAGTGTGGAAGCCTGGGGAACTGAGCAGGCTCCGTCCCTCTACCCCTGAAAGGAAGAGGGGTGGAGGGGAGGCATGCAGTGTGCACTTACCAGATGTGGCCATAAGCAGACACCCTCTGACACCCCTGCTACAACACCACAGTCTACAGCTTTACTTTGACTATTCAGAGCCTTCCTCTAAATCCAGTATTCCAGCAAATCACAAGAGTCTGGAATCTGTTCTGCGCTTAAACACTGACCTCAGACCTCCCTGTCTTTCTCAGCTATGCTCTCTCCTGTGAGATTGAAGCAGCTGCCGATGCCAGCACCACCTCCCCTAAGCCTCGGAAGAGCATGGTGAAGAGGCTGAGCCTGTAAGTGGTTCCCCCGCCCACTTCTCACGAATCCTGACCCTGAGAGGGTTTTGTCAGAGTGGGGAGAGGAAATACATTCAGCAGCACTGAATGTTCACTTAAAGAGTATATTTCCTGCTGGGCGGTGGTGGCACATGCCTTTAATCCCAGCACTCGGGAGGCAGAGGCAGGAGGATCTCTGTGAGTTCAAGGCCAGCCTCCAAAACAATACAGAGAAACCCTGTCTCGAAAAACCAAAAAAAAAAAAAAAAGAGTATATGTCCTGTCATGAACTCAAAAGGCCCATTATGTCCATCCATTCCTCTCTCTTTCCTCCTGTATGAGCCATTATTGTCTCATGCCTGCATCACCAGCAGCTGTTGGCTGACTGTCCTCTTGTCCCATCAATTCATTCTCTACTAAATAGCTTGTTGATCCTTTGAACAACAGAGTGTGTCGCTTTTTAAAAACATCCGATGGTTGTATTTTGAAATGGAGTCTCAGCTCTGGGCCCCAGTTTACTAGGCCTTATGCGATGACTCCCAGCTTTCCCTCTTACAACACTTGGCTTGGTTCACTGAGGTCCACCACGTCAGCCTTCTAGCCAACCTTTGAACACCAGGCTGTTGCCATGCTACTAGCCCTTCCTGTGGCTTGAAATGGTCTTTTTTCCCCCTGGATGTTGGCAAGAATGGTTATCTCCTAAGAGTGATCTTCCCATAGTGCTGTCTCTCTGGTCATCCTCATTCATGCTGACTTTTTACAGTTTAGTGTAAGCAGAATTAGAATAGAAACATTGTCCATCAGGTTTGGTAGATGAAGTCTCAACTTTTTGAGACTTCACTCCATCTGGATAGAATCCAGAGCTCTTAGACTCTCTGCAGGACCCATTGGCCCGCAGCACCAGCATTGCCCTGATGGCCTGTCCATCTGTCTGTCCCACCTTTCCCGTTCACTCTACCCTTTCTGAGTTGCCTTTGTTCCACTAACTCCTCTCCCACAGAGCCACCTGGCTTCCTGGCTTACTTCCTTCAGGTGTTTGTGGAAATGTCACCTTGACAAGCTTGTTGAGTTCTCTACCCCGTTCACATCACCTGTCCCTGACGCCCTCTCTTGGTGGTCTTTCATCTTTGGTTTTTTTTTTTTTTTTGTCACATTTAGCTTCATCTGACATACTGTATACTGTATGTGTCTGTATAGAATTTAAGCTCCATGAGGGGAAGCCTTGTCTTTATGTGTTGCTCTGTTTGCAGAATCTTAAGTGCTGCCACCTAGCAGTAATTGAATAGTGGGTATGTTTAGAATGACTAAAATGAGCCGAACGCTAGGGCTGTTATAAGAACAATACGTGTGTTTATAAAATTTACAACACGATCTAGGAAACAGTTTCTGTAATTAGCTCCAATCGCATAGAACAGGACACTGAAGTATGGAAAGGGTGGATCGTGTGCTTGTAATGGGAGAACATGGATGCATACCTAAGATTCAGCACAGGGTTAAGTTTATAGATGCTTTACCTGTGGCGACCTATGAAATTACATTCTGAAGGAAGAGAGAGATGTACAAGTTAACCAAGGAGAACCACAGGAGGGAAAAGGAGGAATAAGAATCTGTTCATTAGACTCCAGGCTTTGATTGGACCAGTTTCTGTAGAAGAAGCTTGAGAATCTACTCTGCTCCGTAAAGTTGATCTCTAGACTTTAATTCCAGGAATTTCCCCTCTCATACAGATCCATTAGTTTATAAGCCCGACTCCCATCTTTTGGGTGATGTTGTCTGCACTGGTCAGGGGCAAGCATGAATAACCCTTAGGGAATCATGGCCAGTTTTCCCAGGCCAAGTAGTTCACTTTGACACATCCCAACCCCACCCGCTGTCATGCAGACATCTTGGTTATCATTTGTGATGTGAGAGTATAGTGCTCCCTGGATCAGTGGATTTTTGTGGCTCACCAGTTATGGAATCTTCTCAGCCATTGTATTTTCCGAGGTTTCCTTCCCTGTCTCGTTGTGCTGCTCTTACACATGTGCAAGACTTCCTTTTGTTTTCACTGTATCCTGTAACATCTGTCTCCATATCTTCCTTTCTTCATTCTGATTTCTGGGGATTTTTTTTCCAGATCTACTCATGATTTTTTCATGATTGTTTTGATTGTTTTCTTCAGTAGTTACTTTAACTCTACTGAGTTTTTTATTTAAATCATATATTTCACGTATATGTGATTTTTTTTCAAATTCTCTTTTTTGTGGGAGTGGTCTTTCTCTGAAAAGATTTATATTCTCTTATTTCTTTAATATTTTTAAATATATGTATAAAACTGAGCCTGTGGTGGACATGCAAATGTTGTCAAGTGAATGAGTGGATGATACTTTCTCTCTGACTGTTCTGTAAGAGATTCTCAAGAGTTGGCATCTCCTGCCCATTATGTTTGTTAATTGTCTTTGAGTGGAGTGGTTCTTTGTGTATATTTTTAAATTTTATATTGTGAGCTCATCTTTATAAAGGGATTGTCTGCAGCTTGGGTAAAAGGTATAGCCTTCCTGAAAAACAGAGTCCATCCATCCACCCATTATTCCCAGTGATGGCCTGAGACTTGCTAACACATAGACCACATAGGTAGGAAGTCAGAGTGAAGCACAGACCAGGTTCACACATGTGTGGAGACATCATTCCTTCCATACAAATTCAGGCCAGGACAGACAGGCTTTCCTGTTGTTCCCCGTGTCTGTGGCAAGGTATTTTTCTAGCCTATCTCTTCTTTACTGAAGGGTAAAGCCCTTGGAGTGCCTGACTTTAGAGATTAGGTTGTAGCACCCTTCCTTTCATAAATAGAACCCTCATTTCACAGTGTTATGTACATGTTAAATCTGTGGTCAGTACACACTGCATATATGTGTGGGAATACCAAGTGGAACCCCATTATTATGTATATGAAAGTGTGTTACTTTTTTAAATGACGATTTTGCCACCATTCATACCTCCCATTTCCCAAAGACAGCAGCTGCAGAAATGGCTCACCAGCTTCCGATTTTCAGTTCTCTTTTTTCTTAAGGCCTGTAGGGATTTCCCTTACATCTTGCTAGCTCAGCCCAAAAGAGGTTTTAATATTTCTTGCACAGTCCTTTTATGGGGAAGGGGCTTGGGTTATTGTAGTTCTCCAGATGGCTCAAAGCAGAAGTGTTCTTCCTTGGTTTCTTATCCAGAGCACACCCACCTCTTCCAGCTGCAGGAAGTTCCAAGTTCATCTTAGGGTAGGACGCAATAAGGGGTGGAGTGCTGGTTTTCTGACCCTGTCACAGTGGTCCACGGACTGCTAAAAGATGGAGGACTAGTGATTGGAAAGGCTACATCAGTTAAACAACCTATGTGTTGCTTGGGGTTGGACATAACCTTCTGGGACAAGATAGTCACTACTATTTGTTAGAAGCATTATAGCATTCCTTTTCTTAAAATATGTACAACAGAACATAGGTGATTGAGAAAACATCGACGTTTTAGTTGGCACACATTGTTTGCTCAGTCATAGGTTCTAGGTTAGTAACAGCTTGCATGTTTGGCATTCTGGTTTCTGCAGACTGTTTCTGGGGACTGATATCATCACTGGGAGCACTCCCACCAAAGAGCAGCCCAAGTCCACGGCCAGCGGGAGCTCTGGTGAGAGCATGGACTCAGTCAGCGTGTCATCCTGTGAGTCAAACCACTCAGAGGCCGAGGAGGGTTCCATCACACCCATGGACACACCAGATGAGCCTCAAAAGAAGGTACACACTAACCCTTCCCATAATTCTCATTTCTGTTGCAGCCCCCGGCATGCTATTTGCCACACGAAGAATGCCTGTAGGTGTCAGAGGCAGAGTCTCTTCTGAGGACCCAGTCCTCAGAGAACAGCTGCAAAGTGCTAAGGAGATTGGCTTATTCATCTGTGCCTTTAAACATTTTTCTGCCCATGCCTAAATGCACCAAAGGATTATGACCTGTAAAATAAGTATAGAGTCAAGAGAATCAGGAATACTTGAGGAGGAATAAAACGTAAGAAATGGAGATATGCCAACTTTTTGGTGCCACACAGGAAAAGCATTCTGAAACTCAAGGACTTAGAGCAACCACCATGTTTCTAGGGGGCTGACTGCTTTGGGTCAGACTTAGCCCTATCCCAGTTTTAACCCAAGTTTACTCACTTACCTGTCATCCACTTGGAGTAGTAGGCTTTCCAGAACATTCTCTTGGCATGCTGAAATGTATGAAGAAGAGGGACAGAAGCGCTACCCTATAAGTGCAACAGAGAGCCTTTCCTTGATCATACCTACCAACGTTCCGTTGCTTAAAGCAGTCATGTGGTCAGATCCAACAGAAATAACTGAAGCAGGGAGATCCGATCCAACTTCAGTGGGAGGAACCATGAAACAAATCCCAGGGCAAAGGGCACAGCTTGCAGCAGGGTGAGGAGTTGATAATGATGATCTAGTCTACCACAGCGGAAATAGATAGCAAACTGTAAGCGCCGATAGAGGGATCCTCATCCAGTCCATTTCTCACAGCTGTACAAATAAGGGAAATTTCTGCCCTGCCAAAACAAGATGGGAGACAGGGACAGGAGGTCCCTCGGAAGCTCGCAGGTCAGCTAGCGGGCTATATGTACAAAACGGTGGAGAACCTGTCTCAGACAAGTTCGAAGGCAGGAACTGACACATGTGGTTGTCCTCTTAGACCTGCATGTGTGCCCTGGTGTACACACACCTGCTCTCATACGCATAAGCGCACACACATCTATACACATGCTTCTTTGCTCACACACAGAGGGTTTTTTTGAACACATAGATTTAAAAATCTAGAATGAGGCCTTGCTCACTTGATTTCCACAGGGTCTCATGTTTTTGGGTCTTGTAACCTGCTGGTGAACATGATAGGAAAGTGACCGTGGCTGTGCTGCCCACACATCTTTCTATCCCGGTCTGGGAAGGAGATGGAATCAATTGTTGGAGCATAGGTCAAATAAAACCATATTACCCTTGGGAGAGCATGAGGTTGGAGCTGAGGATGCAGCTTGTGGTAGAGTGGAAACTGGTATGAACAAAGCCTGGCTTCCGTACACACACACACACACACACACACACACACACACACACACACACACACACACACAGTGCCCTGGAAATCATGAGGGGGCTGCTGTTTCCACAACTCTTTGTGTTTTGTTTTGGTTTTTTTGTCAGTCTAATTCCTTTCATAGACTATGCTTATGTGTTCAGATGCATCTGTCCCAGAGTCAGGTTTCTAGAGACTTCAAGATGACATGTGGTTTATGTGCTGCAAAACCCCTGTACATTACCCAGAAAATTCCACAGCTCTGCACGGCACCTGACTGGGCCTGAATGTCTTGCACATTCCTAGCACAGGGCCCTGTGGTGACTTCTTCTCTAGTGGCCTCCACATGGTCTCTCTCCATCCCATGTGAGTCTGTTACTTTAAAAGGAAAGTGTAACCTGCATTCCTCTTTCCTCATGCTCCTTATCATTATTTCTAAACATCTGTTTTCGTGCTCACTCCTCACCACTTAAATTCTTACTGGGAATATGAAGGTCCATCAGATAGTCTCTTTAAAACCCATGTAACCTCCCCATTCTTAATGCTTTATCATCTCAGTTATACGTGTTATTAAAACCGTGGAAAGCCCAAGGGGAAGGGAAAGTGGAAAAATTCAACCAACATTTGGAAAGCAGGCCTTCTAAACGATATGTTTGCAGACAAAATTATGCTATCAAAATTGTGCCCTGTGCATCAGTGCTCAAGTTGAGTCACTTGGGAACAGAAAATTCCAAACAGCAGCAACATACAGCTAAATGGCACCGTGCCAATCCCACTGTAGATGCTACATATCAGAGCTGGTGTTGCAGTTTGCTATCTGTAATAGAACACCCATGTTGTAGAATTGTCTTTAACACAGGATGGATGCCACAGGAGGAAGCAGGCCCCAAGAAATTAAAGATAACATGGTTCCTACTTTTTCAGCAGCCTCATTATCAGAAAGCCATGTTTCTTAGTCTGTTTCAGTGATAGGGCAGACACATATGAAAGAAGTTAGTATTATTTATTTTACTGGCTCCTAGAATATTTTGTAGGATTATTATAATTCAGTTAAAGTCATTGCAAATATCACACACACACACACTCACACACACACACTCACACACACACTCACACACACACCATACACACACACTCACACACACACACCATACACACACTCACACACACACCATACACACACACACCATACACACACACACACACTCACACACACACACCATACACACACACACACCATACACACACACTCACACACACACACCATATACACACACACACCATACACACACACCATACACACACACCATACACACACACCATACACACACACCATACACACACACTCACACACACACACCCCATAGCAAAGGGGAAGGAGTGCTGCTGGGACACAGTGTTCTCTCTGGGTCTTGGGCTTCTCTAGTTGAGGCAGGGGTCATGTGATCTCTAACTCTCCACACACACCCCTGAACTACATAAACTGTAGTCCTTATCTTAGAAGCTTCTAAATATAAAGACATTTATCTCCTACTACAAAGTCTGGATGTGAAGTAGAGTCAGGACACAATGCTCTCTGTGGTCACATTGGAGGTGAGAATGTTGGTGGTGAGAACCAGTAAGTTTTAAGGAAGGCTTCCTGGCATTTGTAAGCTGACTTTCTTCAGCGTGTAGGGCCTGTATAAGCTGGTATCTGCTGCCATCTCCTGGTTGACTTTCATAAGCGCAACTTAAACCAGGAAATCCAGAACCAGTGTGCCTTTTCTAGATCCAGAGTGATGAGAGCACACTGAGTCACTGGCAGCAGCGTCAGCGCATGGTCTGTAAGTGTGTGTGTGATCAGATATGAGAGACCCATGAGGACTGAGGAGGAAGTAACTGAAGTTGATCGTTTCCCACATCTACTTCTGCCTTGAAAACTGAAGCATGCTTGGTCCAGGGTCTAATGGTGCTGTTTTCTTTGTGTTAACTCTCACAGCTCTCTGAGTCCTCCTCTTCATGTTCCTCAATCCATTCCATGGATACGAATTCCTCAGGGATGTCATCCTTAATCAACCCCCTGTCCTCCCCTCCGACGTGCAACAACAACCCTAAAATTCACAAGCGCTCCGTCTCTGTGACATCCATTACCTCCACAGTCCTGCCCCCTGTTTACAATCAGCAGAGCGAAGATACCTGCATCATCCGTATCAGTATAGAAGACAACAATGGCAACATGTACAAAAGCATCATGGTAAGGGGCCGTCCTGCCTGGGAGGGTCTCCGTGGGAAGAGCCCAGGCCTCTCTCTGTGTCTGCCAGCTGTGCAGGCTGGTACCCTTGAATACACATGGATGTGTCACACCTGCTTCTGTGTGCACACAAAACCAACATGAAAAACAGCATCTTCCTCCTGGGTGTAGATTAATGTTATTTTATCTAATGGTGCAGGTGCATATAGGACACAGTTTTGTCGTCTTAAGAATTATTTAAACCTATTCATCCAGGTTGGTGTCATGTTCTGTGATGATCAGCGTGGGTGACTATGTGACAGCAGTCCAGGGAGGATGCCACTGCTTCACATGCCTCCTTGGAACTCTTCCAACGTTTACGCTTAGGAGAAAATTAAATGCCTTTTCAGTAGTGAGGTCCCTGGTAACAGTTTTCTCAGGCCTGGCTCCTGAAGAGGGAGATTAAGGTGGAAATGCCATTTGGTTCAGCAAGTAGCTACACTAAGTGAGTGAATGGAACCAGGTTTCATGTGCTTCTTACAAGACCTACAGTAGACTAGAAAATTCCAAAACTACTTTCGATGATGGTAGATTTTTGGGATACATACAAGACTTCTCATGGTGATAACCTGACTGTGTAAGGTTTTATGTTAGATGATTAAATTCCTTAGTTGATAGGTCTATCATACACTAAAATAAATAAATAATAGGTAAATAAATAATAGATTCTTTTCTGCAGCCAAATCTATAATAAATACCATTTCTGTTTTCCTTCCCATCATTTGCCTCCAAGCTGAGGCCTAGATGTTCCATAAGTGTGGGTAGTCATTTTCTTCTAACATTCCAGAAAAAAACCTTTGCTGGCCATTCACTGAATGCAGTAATTATTGAGCCTGTGTTGTTACTAGTTATTGCCCTGGGCTTGGAGAATAGAGCAATGAATAAGACTCATTGATCTTTGAAGAATGTGTAATAAAAGAGAGAGAGAGAGATCATACACTAAATGTTCTAACAGAAGCCAGACCAGATTGGAAATGGTCTTGTGGCCTCCTTGGGGGACTTTGTGTTAATTCTACAGGCAGTAAGGTCTCCCTGGAGGGATCATGTTAAGAAACGACCAGATTTGTTCGTTAGAAGAGTAGCTGGCCTTGGGGAGGCCTGCTGCTACACTGGGTGGGGGGTGGGAGGGAGCGCCGGGGGTGGGCCGGGGGTGGGAAGCAAGCAAGGAAGCTGCTCCTATCTTTCATTCAGGACGTGATAAGGGCTTGAGTGTTGATCCTGTGGCTGGAGATGATATGGGAAATGCCTTATGAGGTATTATTGTAAGAGCCCATTCATCCCGTTATCAGCCTCTTGGTAACTGTTGTGGAGGGTACGGAAGAGGGAGGATTCCTAAGGAAGAGGGAGAATTTGGGGCCGTCTGGTATCCTGGTGGCCGGTGACTCTGTCCAGTGAGATATGAACTGCTAGAGGCGAAGTTTCAGGGTCTTTAAATTGAGACGTCCAGATGACATTGCTAATAGATTATCAGGGCTGGTGTCGGAGTCCTTCAGCCCCATGGGGTGGGGATGAATGTGGAACGAGACCCAGTTCAACCAGAAGTAGGGAGTAGCTAACCAAATGTACTAGAGAAATACCAGGTCTTCGGTAGCAGTCCTATTTTCAGTACACTCTAGTCATTGTTACATATGCCAACCAGAGAGCAGTGGGCACCCACGTAACCACAGTGTCTCGGAATCATAGTACAGATTTGTGCACCCAGCAGTTACACTGCGTGCCATGCCGTAGCTGTGTGCTCTGCTTGGCCAGGGGAAGTCAGTACATCTGAGAGCCATGTTGGAGCAAATGTGATGTCCTGGTGTTGGGTGGACAGTAGATAAATGAATCCCCAAAGTAATCCTTCGGTGGGGGAGGGACTGCCTTTGGGGAACAGCCCCCATTTGTTGTCCTTTCTTGGGGTGCACAGGGTGAAGCCTGGAGCCTTCCCTGTTGGTAACGCTAATTGTATATATTAGTTTTTCTCTCTAGCTTTTGTCCTACAAAGTAATAAACACCCAAAGGAAGCCTTTGGCCTTATTTTTAGCCTGGCTTTCTCCCTAAACAGGAAGGCCTGGTTTCTAAACTGAAATCTAACTGTCTTAGCATAGCATTTATCCCCCAAGTGCCCTCCCTCCTTCAGCATTGCACCACTAACCTACTGTGTGAGGATATTTCCTTTGTACTCTCCAAACTATGTATTTTCTTCCTTTAGAAGTTTGTGTGCACCAAACTTTCCTTGGAAGTACATAAGCCAGATGCTTTGATAACAGGCAAATCCACACGGCCCTTATTGCTGTTTATTAATAAAAAATACCAGCTGCTGCCTGGGTCACAAGGAGGCACTTAGGCCCTGGAGGAAATCAGGCTCTGTGTGTGTGTGTGTGTGTGTGTGTGTGCGTGCTCACGAGCGCGTGCATACACACATGCACGCACGCACGCACGCGCGCCTCTATTGGGAGCTTAAGTAGTGTGGGGTGATAGGCAATGCGTGTTTTCCCCATTTTAGTGGGGGGCTCTGTTAATACATGTCTGCCATCTTTTGGCTACTCAGATGGAAGCAGTTCTAACACTCAGGAGTCCTGGCTTTTTGTCCCATTCTATGTCACCTACCCCATCCTTCCTAGAGGAGTATGTGCCACACAAGACAGCAAAGATAAGCTTAGACAACGTGAGCCTTGCACGGCACTGATGCCTGTTGTCTTTGCAGTTGACAAGCCAGGATAAGACCCCTGCTGTGATTCAGAGGGCGATGCTGAAGCACAATCTGGACTCAGACCCAGCTGAGGAGTACGAGCTGGTACAGGTCATCTCGGAGGACAAAGGTGGGCATGTTCTCCTCTGCGTGGCAGGTGCCAGCGTGTGCACATTTTGGTCTTAGTTGCTGACAGCAGAAAGGGCGTATAATGTAATGTGGCATGAGCCCATGCGTGTGTACATGTGTGTGTAAATTACGAATGTGTGGTGTATGCACAGGTGTGTGTGTATGTGTGTGTGTGTGTGTGTGTGTGTGCACTCACTTTCGTCTGTGGCCAGGGCAGTACAGTGGGTGGTCTGCTCTCACTGAGTCTGGAGCAAGGCTGGTGGCCTGCAAGCCCAGGCAATCAATCCTCCTGTCTCCTCCCTTGATAGGGTTAGTTATAGGCATATGGCTTTTTATGTGGGTGCTGGATCCAAACTCAGATTCTCACGCTTGCATAGCGAGCGCTCTTATGCACGGGACCCTCTCTCGTGCCCCCTGGTTGTGTTTTTTAACAAGCTACACATCACCTTACTGTAGAATGTCTCAAGCTGCTCCAAACTTTCAGGACCCCAACTCTTGTTTGCTGTTTCTGAGCTTTTCCACAGAATTCCTTTTGCCTATCACTTGTGTTCCCCACAAGAAGTGCATTTTCATGGACAGTGTGTGTGTGTGTGTGTGTGTATGAGAGAGAAAGAGAGAGAGAGAGAGAGAGAGGGAGGGAGGGAGGGAGGGAGGGAGGGAGGGAGGGAGGGAGTGGGTGTTCTCCACGAGAAGTTCATTTTCACGAGAAGTCTCTCTTTGTCAGGAGTGGGAAGCAGATGGACCCTCTTGGGTCTGGGCGGGTGGACACACACATCCTTTACTTGACACTGATTCTCAGTCCTGTGTGACCCGGAAGCACTCATGTCAGAATTTCTTACCTGTTTCACTTCAGCATTTGAGAGAGTTGTGGGGTTTGTTGTTTTGTTTTTTAAATTTCTGACCAATCTTTAGTAACCAAAGAACTGGTGAAATGCATCTGTGAGGCCAGTCTCATAATTTTAAAAATGCTTTTCAAAGGTCTTTTCTGGCAAATAGTCACCCCTTCTTGTATCTTATTTGCTCATCTGGACTGGCGTGGGTTTGGGAGAGATGGAGGCAGGTGAATAACCTCTCTGTCACATAGGAGAGGCCTGCTCAGTCAGAATGAGACTACTCCAAGAGCAGAGATGCTAGTACACATTGTTGAACGACACTAGCCCTACTGGCCAACAGACCCGCCCTGACATCTCATCTTGATGGAGGGCGCTGCTCAGCAACAAGGAGCACCCTCCTCCGTGGAAAACAAACCACTTATGTTACTGGGGTATGGGTGCAGAGCTGGGAGGCTTGGGTGCTCGATCCAGCTCGGTGGTTCTGGGACCATCCTGGTGCCCCCATCTGCATGCATCCTTCAAGTTTTAATAGTATGTGTCTGAGTAGTAAGTTCACAGGAGGAATTCTGACACTTTATTTGCTCTCAGTTTCAGATGGGGAGTGAGATTTGGGGAGCAGTCATGAGGAAGTGTTCACACTGCCTGGTCAAGATTACATTCAAAGAATGTAACCTGGCCCCCATGCAGGCCTTGTGTCTAGGCAGCCTTGGCTTCTGCCAGTCAGTGATGGGCTGTATTATCCAAACTGACCAACTGCTGTGTCCTTGTCTCTTTCAGAACTGGTGATCCCAGACTCTGCAAATGTCTTTTATGCCATGAACAGCCAAGTGAACTTTGACTTCATTTTACGCAAAAAGAACTCAGTGGAAGAGCAGGTAAAACTGCGTAGTCGGACCAGCTTGACATTGCCCAGGACAGCTAAGCGGGGCTGTTGGAGTAACAGACACAGCAAGATCACCCTCTGAAAAGGACAATGCACCCTGCTTGCCAAAGGCAGAGTAGGGGTGAGAACAGCTGTGGGGACTGCAGCCACCACCCAGTGCTGAGGATCATTGGTGAAGCCAACAGATATTTATTGAGTTTGGATGCATACAAAGCACTATGTAGAGAGAGTGGAAGTGAGTTTGACATTAAAAGGATAAATGATTCACTGATGCTCTTGGACATGAAAGTGAAATACAAAATGATCCACATTTTAAAAGTGTATACACTCACACATCTAGTGGGTGTATATATGGATATATAAGAGGAACTTGACAGGATGTTTTGGACTATGGAAAAATCAATTTGCACAATGGCCTGGGAAGTTGAGGTCACTTTTTACAGGGAAATAGGAGGGACTGAGAACCTAGTCTCATACCTTCCAAATAAATAGAATCAGATCTACCACACAGAGTGTTCTTCATGCCAGTATTATAAGCCCAAACTCTATTTTTGTAAAGGGAGAGGATTACTGTCTCAGTCACATGCCAGCAGATGAACAAACTGCAGAGGTTGGGTTGCCCGCAGGCTCCATGAAAGGCCATCAAGGGAAGGTTTGGATGAGTCAGCGGTCTCTGCCCTCTGCCTGTGTCTGCTGGAGCTTCAGGGGTCTTCGTGCCTTGCCGGTCCCCATCACAATGCCTCTGGAGCCAACACAAGCTTGTTTCGTTTCTGGAAACCCTGCTGTGTTTCTGTGCCCTCTCCTAAAGAACACACCACAGTCGTTACTCCATAATTTATCGGTCAGAGGAGGAAGTGCTGAAGACGGACGACTCATTTGACTCTTCTGTCTTGGAGTGCCGCTGTTCTATTGCCCTTCCGCATGTAACCGTGTACATCCGGGGTCTTTCGCCATCTGGAGCCTTGTAACTATCTTATGTGCAATTTGTTCCTCAGGTGTAGACATTTCTACTGCGATTGACTACATTGGATCATTTCAAGCCCATGAAAGACTTCTAGGCCCTCAGAAAATGTTCCCTGCTCATAGCAACACCTAGTTTCCTTCTTCACTTTCGTAACATTGCCCAGTGACAGGGAAAGGGGACCGCGTCCCTGTCTCAGCTCTTTCTCACAGAGCTGCATCCTTCTAGAGGGAAACAATGCCTTTCTTCCTTTCTCATCCCCACACCTGCTCCCCCAGCATCACTGTACGTGACATTCTTGTCTATAGAACACCCTCATGCTTTTGCTTCTGATCTAAGCGATGTGGGGGTTTGAATGAAAAAGCCATATGGGATGAGCTAATGTGTAAGAAGCACTTTCAGATTGTTCTTCCCCCTTTTTAAGGAAAAAAATTCCCCAAATACCAGTTTTTATTCCAAAAATAAAGAGAATGAACCTAGGATATGATGTCTAGATTGTAACAGGGAACTTTTTTTCCTAACAATACTATACATAGCTCCCAAAGGTTGTGTGGGGTTTATGTTATGTAAATAGCCATATTAATTCAACAAGAAACACCAGGCAAAGCTCAGAGATTCATGGCAATGGACCAAAGAGAGAGCCAAGAACTCATCAGATTCCCTTGGTGTTTCTAGGAGACTGGACTGGGCTGTGGAGACCGGCTAGGTGTCAACTAGTCGGAAGGCACTTTCTTTTTTGTGTGTGAGCCTTGTTTGGTTGGTGTGTCTGTGTATGGAGGGAGATGGCAGGGATCACAGTCATCAGGAAGACTGAGGTAAACCAAGCCTCAGGCTGCCTTTCTCAGTGTCAAGGTCAAAAAGTGAATGCAGAGCTGTTGACCTGGTTTAGGGTGTGGCTCACAAGACATACATGTTCTGCCCAACGTGCTCACCCTGTGTATATATACTGTATATATAGAGCCTAGATTTATATTCAGCAATGTAAAGAAAAAGTATATATATATATATTTACCTTTTTTAAAAAAGACGATGGAAATCCCGAGTGGATAAAACATGGCCTCATTTATTTAATGCCACTGTAGTTGTTTTAACTTTGCTTCTGGGTGAACAGCTGGGCGTTGTTTCCAGCTGCTCTCATGCTTGTCTTTCTGCGCCTCCAGCATCTGTTTACCTTTTGGTTAAACTAATAAACTGGTTTGGGACTTGGTTGGCATGTGCTGCCAGACCCAAAGGGCTTGTATCTGGAGTGTTGATTGGGTGGGTTCTGGGCTCCGGGTTTGCCAGCATTTGGTCCAAGGCCTTTTCTGAATCAGCTAGATGGAGCAGAGCAACAGCTAATGGCAGAGGGTTGTCTCCACTGGCAAGGGTTGTCAGCTTAGAGGGAAGAGGGATGTTCTGGGGCACACCAGTCAGTGATGGTGCTTTGCCAGACTGCTTTTCTTAGCAGCCACGTAGTGGGGCTGCCTGGAGTGTAAACCTGGGCTGAGGATTCAAAGTAGGCCTTGATAGCTCACTGAGGGACTTTATCGAATGCGGTGCTGCCACCATCTGGGCAGTTGTAAAACTGCTGGAGGTGCTCCCACAGCAAGGAATCCGGGATGGACAGGGATGTCTTCTCAGAAGGTGTCCTATTATCTGACTTCACACAACACAGTCTCATTGCTTTCATATTGTTACCCAGAATTACTTTCCCACAGGTTCCTAAATTGAAGCAAGTGCGTATTTTAACAGGGAACTGATAATGTGGCATGATCTCTGGCACTATGTGACAACTTTTTCAAAACCATTCTAGAAACTAGCTCCCCACCCCATATGTAGAAACCAGCCTTGGAGAGTTTTGCCTGAAATCATGTCTTTAGATCTCGTCTCTGACTCACTTTCAAGTTCACACAGTATCAGACCGCAGGAGGCTGCTGCACTGACCTCAGGGGATGGGGAGTTTCCTGAGACTAATTGGCTTTCTCTGCACATGCCTACAATTCCTATATAAGACGTTAATTACTTTGCTGTTTTCCTTGAGAGATGTCGAAAATGAAATGCCACTGGAAGTATTTACTAGGCCACCTAGACTAGACTGAAGTAACCAAGAAGCCTCACTAATTGAAACCAGAAATTTTCTTTTCCATTTGTGTGAGTACAGCAGGAGCCAGGCAGGGCTCTTAAGCAGTGACCAGGGACTCAGCTGCCTCCTGCCTTACAGTTGTACCTGCTTGGTTTCCTACCCCCCACAGTCACAGTGATTTCTACAGTGTTTTTAGTCATGCTCTTCTGACTGACATGGTGTGCCACCCATCATCCACGGTCCCGTTACTGTGTAGCTCCATCTGGTGTCTCTGTGCAAGGGAGGCAAGACACACACACCTGAAGAACTTGAGGAGCTCTCATGTATCTTTCTAGAACATTCCACAGCCATCAGAGACAGTGTTTGGAAAAGATGGTAAGGACATATGAGTGGGCTGCAAAGGAGAAGCAAGAGATGCTAAAGAGGGGATATCAGAAAGAATGACATAAATTTGTCTAAAAGGCAGAAAAATTCAATAGAAACAAGTCCATTTTAGATCATAATTTGCCAATTACTATTGCACGTGGGCACCATATTTCTACCCGGCAGCCTGTAACCTGTGTGGAAGCACTTCATTTTATTTAGCAGTTTGGGGAATTTAGTTTAAGCCACACCCCCTAGTGTTCCCTCCCTTTCCCTTCTCACTCGTCCCGCACCCAGTTTTTGGAGGTGGGTGGTGTGTTGATGCAGGATCTCCCTTTCTGCGAGCACCGGGGCTCTCACAGCTCCTGTGCTCCCGTGACTGGTGTCCATGCCCTTTATCACAGTTTCTCGTGAGGAATCACCGCACCCCTCCATCATTTATCACCAGAACAGCATGGTGTGACACAGGTCTGATCTTGAACACAAACATTATAAATGAGTGGCAGTATATCATCTCCAACAAGAGACAACTGAAATTAGTTTTGAATTACTCCCATGCCTCCTCTCAAAAAATCAAGTGGCCAAATTTGAAATGGAAGCATCCTTCTAAATGTTTTATCCCACACATCCGTGATCCTCATTTATATGACAGCAAACAGCCAAGCCTTCAGCAAAATCTTATCTGAGAATGTACACTATGGTATATATACATATATATATATATGATATATATGTATATGTGTTTGTATGATAATTTGTTGAGTAATTAGTATATCATATATCAAAGTTACAGACTCCCATATATCAATGAGAGAGAGAGAGAGGGAGAGAGAGAGATTAGACATTTGTTGGAACTGCACTTTGCTCTGTGAGTGTGCGTGCGTGCGTGCGTGCGTGCGTGTGTGTGTGTGTGTGTGTGTGTGGTGGGGAGATCTGAATGCTGAGGAGACTGACTTCCTGGCCACTACCACCATAGGCAAATTATATTATTTACCTTTGTCGTAGCTGAAAAGTCATAACTAACAGGCATCCCTACCCCTTGAGGTTTATTCAGTGCCAAGTGATAGCACATGTGCAAAAAGCTCTTTGCTTGGGTACACAGGCTCAGCTGGCTGAGGGAAGTAAGCCCTGACATTCTTGGGTGGGAGAGCAGCCCACATTCCAGGTGTGAGACAGGAAAATCTTTGAGGTAGGGCATCTATGTGTGGAACTGCACCCTGGGAATATCAGCCTGCTGCTGCCTTGGGGAAAGACTGACTCATGGAGTTGGAGCATGCCTGGGGCTCCTACAGCTTGCTTCTTGGCTGTGACCCAAAGAGGCTCATGAAGACAGGCATGTAGGCTCTGCACAGACCCCCTGGCCAGCCTTCAGTCTTGCAATGAAGGGGTTTTTGACAGGTAACCTGAGCCCTGTGCTGGAGTATCCTTCTGAGGGCACCCACCTTCCTGGATGCCCTCTGCGGGCCTATTTAACGAGTGAACCTTCTGTGTGAGTTTAATACCTGCATCGTTCCTTTGACTCCAAAGGTCCTACCCAGACTACACATGCCTGAATCCAGGCTGTTGCTGTCCCAGCATTTCACTGCGGCCTGACCCCATCTCAGTCTCTCCCATTGTGATAGGTTTCATAAAGTGCACTTTAAGGACTAGGCTAGTAATACTTCCATTAAACCTCCCTCCTACTTCTAGTTTCTACTTCCTTCCTTCCCTGTCCCTGTGCACCAACATCACTATCTCCAAGCATGGCCTGGCATCCTCTCATCTCCGCTTGTCCTTGTATTTCTGTCCCAGAATGCCCCTGGGCATCAGGACTTAGCGCTGCTGGCTCCCACTTTCCTCTTTATTTATGGACATCACCATTCCCTCAAATTTGCTTTTTGTTTGTTTGTTTTGTTTTTCCTGCACAGCCAGGATGGATGATCATACAACCCCATCACAGTGTCAGGCTGGTGTAGAATAGCAGCAGGAACCTTCGGGCTCACACATGGACACTCTAACTCAACTCTGGCTGGCATGTCTGTTCCACACTCTGGCTCTCCTTCCAGTGGAGACACTTTCTCACGGATTGTTCTCTAAGCTGTTCTGAGACAGAGGGGAAGGCTGCACATTCTTCCGACAGTGAGCTTCTGGACGCCTCTGGGCTGGGAACTGAGCAGAGGAGCTCTCTCCAGGTTCCCCAGGGGCTTTGAAGCAGATGTTTTTTGGATCTTGGAAGTGCTCCGGCATGGAATTTGACTTGCACACCCATTTCAAGAGAAACAAGCTGAAGAAACCAGGGAGGGGCCTAAAATGTAGTTTATTCGAGAGCAAAGAGAATTGATTCTCTGATGATTCTTCATTCTTTCCACTCTCCTACCCTTCTCAGAGCAAGAGGAGGATGTCTTGGGTTGTGAGCAGCACGGTTAGGGTCGTGACAGCGGCCCAAGCAAGACCATTTTAATTATGAACAGTGGGAGAGCAAGCACGTGCACACACACACGCACACACATGCACGCACACACACGCACGTGCACACGCACGTGCACACGCACGTGCACACGCACACATGCACGCACACACGCACGCATGCAAAGAGGGAAAGGAAAAGGAGGGGGAAAAGGAGGGAAAGATCGTAAGGATTGGAGAGAGAGTTTTCAGTGAGTTCAAGAGCAGAAGGGAAGGTGGCCTTCTGGCTCCCCAAATCCTAATGGCACACCGTTGGCCTGGGACCTCACCTGGTGTCTAATACTTCCATCAAGCAAGTTCGTGTTTTCCTGTCCTTGTCACAGGAAGGGGTACCATTTTCTGTGCAATCTCTGGTAGCATGATGAAAGCCACCACTGTTAGTTTTCTTCTCCAATTGGGCAAACAGAAAACCCACTAGACTTTTCTTCCTTGCCTCAGATGCCCTATGCTGAGGAAGCTGTCAGTTGAGGGCCACAGGGGACCTCATTAGTCCTTTCTCCTTCCAGCTTCTTCCCTTGGCCATAGTTATGAGAATGCCTCCGGAGCAGCAGGTTTTCTCTGAAGGAAATGTCCCTAAAAATGCAATGTGGCCATACTGACAATTTCCAGAACTGCCTGTCGTGGGGTGCAACCCATCATATTCTGTTTTCTCAAGTGCCTGCCTCACTGTAACTTTATTTTGTTGTTATTTAACTCCTTAGTGAACTGATTTCTTGTCCGTCAAAGAGATCACTTGTGGCCCGTCCACCTCCCCACCTTGCTTGGAAAGGGTATCTCATAAGCACACAGTGGAAAACCTCCTAGAAGTCATCTTTACTTTAGTCACGTGCTCAAATCATAAATGAGAAACAACAAGATCAACAGGTTTGTGCCTGAATGGGAAACTTTCTGACTTCAGGCACAACTTTGTTCCAGAACCCTCTGCACTGTTTGTCAGGAAAGGAGCCACACCTAGAATCCCAGAATTCCTCCCCAAACAGCAGCCTCTGTCTCCAGGATCAGAAATTAATCAAGTCAGCTTGCCATCATCACCTAGTGAGCCCTGCTCCATTATCACTCCCAACACATCCTCAGCTTTTCCATCCCACCATCTCTCCCATTAGCTGTAGACAGGTATTTGCACAAACATCATTTCCTTGTGCCAGGAAAGCATTCCCAACAGCCACACCAAGTCCTCTTTCCTCATCATCCATAGGCCTCTTCAGCACAATCAATTCCCCTGGTATCCTGCAGCCTATCCCCATCCCCCATCTCTAAAATGCAGCTACTGCCTGTGTAGCTCCCAAACTGATCTCCTGTGACAAGGACAGGAAAACATGAACTTGCTTTAGTGTTCAGGAAGAAATTTTGATGGAAGTATTAGACACCAGGTGAGGTCCCAGGCCAACAGTGTGCCATTAAGATTTGGGGAGCCAGAAGGCCACCTTCCCTTCTGCTCTTGAACTCACTGATTCCACAGTATTGGGGACCTGCCCTTGTCCCCTGAATATTTCTTTCCCCAGAACAAGGCCTGAAGCCAGGCAATGCTCACACATGGGTCTGGAGACTTGGGGGAAGTTTGATTTGAAATACTGGAGTCGCCTGGAGATCCACCATGGAAGGATCGGAGTGTAGATTTGGTGGGGGACTGGGGGACCTGGTGGGCTGGGATGGGGAGGAGGGGAGGGAGAGGGAACTGGGATTGACATGTGAAACAAACTTGTTTCTAACTTAAATAAGAAAAGGAAGGGAAAAAAGAATAAGAAGCCCAAGTCACCAGCCAACAGAAAGAAAGAAAAGAAAGAAAGGAAGGAAGGAAGGAAGGAAGGAAGGAAGGAAGGAAGGAAGGAAGGAAGGAAGGAAGAAAAGAAAGAAAGTACTGGAGTCACTCTCCCTACTATTTTATCTTTGAATGGTAGGGTGGACTCATGTATTGGCACCCTCAGGTCCCTCTAGGGGGAGACTTCTGCCTTGAACATACACCATAATCCATGCTAGCTCACACACTTCTACTCACCTGTCCATAGCAGCTCCCGCAGAACAAGCAGGGCAGTAGCTGCTGCCCTATCTCATTTGTCTTGGGGAATCCCATGACAGTTCATGGCTCTCTTTGGATTTCAATACCCTAATGCAGACGTGGAGGTCCCAGTAGTGCAAGTCACTGGCAAGAGTTTGAAGAGCCAAGGAACAAGCATAATTTAGCTATAAGGTTCTTCCTTTGTTTTAACTTTTATGAAGAGCTCCAGAAAGCAGTTCATTACTTCCCTACCCGGAAATAATAGCACAGTAGAACAGACTAGGGTGTGGAGATGCTTGCTTCTTCAGGTTCCCAAGGGAACTCAAGGGATGTGTCCTCTGCAGACTACAGGGGCCCACTCGTACAGCAGCACCTATGCTTGCCCATCAGAAGATCCCAGCTCAAGAGGAAACAGGATGGGATTCAGCTTCTCAGGCACCAAGAACAGCTCCGGGGCCAGTGGAGAGTCTGCACTGAAGGCTTGGAGTGTCACCGCAAAGGTCAGACACCTGGGTTTAAGGGGAGAAGTGGGACAGGACAAGCAGTGAGGTCAAGGAACCTCCAGATTGCTGACCAGATGACTTCTAAAAGCACCAGATGTTCAGCTTATAACACTCACAGGAAAACGTTGCTAGGGACTCAAATCCGAGCAGTCACAAACAGGCTGGACAAACAGAACCGGAACTTTATTCACAGTTAAAAAGGTCCTAATCTAAAATTCTAGAAAATTGAAATCCAATGTCTTTTAAGAATGGGAATCCTTAAGTCCGTCAGACCAGCTGACGGGGCGAATGGGGGGAAGTTCTCCATGAAAACAACAAGAACACCACAAAGAGCAACCCAGTCTTCCCACTCCAAGCACACCTCCCACACTCTAAAAACACAGTTAAAGCCAGGCATGCTTGCACACATTCAAAGTACAGACAAAAATACCAAACACCCAAGGAGGCCCAGGAATCGCCTAAGCTTTCTAAAAGCTCTCAATGCTCTTCCTGTTGTTCCAGATGAGAAGAGGCAAACGGGGATTGGATAAGCCTGGCTTCTCTGTTTCTGTGGAATAGCTAGCGGAGAAGATCAACACAACCAGCTAGCTGAGGTGAAGCGAGATGCTCTCAGACACCTGGTTGTGTCTCTGGACACCATGACACAGTCAGACATTGCACCTGATATACACTTAGTCTATGGAGAAATTAGGAAGGAGTTTTAGGGTCCATCTTTTGAGAAAGGGTAGCTAGGATTCTTTTGACTTTGAAAGTTGCAGATTGTTGACTGCAATCTATTGTGTGGACCAAGGTCTCCTTGACTCACTGGAGAATGGTTAGAATCTTTCACCAGCAGTCGTCCCTGCAAAGGCCCCGTTGAGAAATTCAGGCAACTCAGATGTTTGAACACACCTGACAACACTATGTCCCCCAGTACGGGATGAGAGCCTGAGACACCTGTCTACACTGATGTCCCCCAGTACAGGATGAGAGCCTGATCCATCTGTCTACACTGATGTCCTCCAGTACAGGATGAGAGCCTGAGACACCTATTTCCCTGCCTCACCCTACAGACAATGCTTTTTTTCCAAATTTGTAAAATAAATAATTCAGAATATAATGACAGTCCAAGGCAAGGTCAAATGTGAGCCTGAAATGTGTTCCTCCTCTTAGCGGCGACATGCTAAAGTCACACCTGCAGTTCCTTTCCAGGCAAAGGAGTGCCACAAAGGGTGGGAGGGGCTAAGCACAGGGCTGGGATCACCCCATACCTCACCTTGTATATATTACAGTTTTCTCTATAAATAGTACATATCAGACTCAGGAAGCCACAATAAAAATGCCAAAGGCTGAGATACTTCTTCCATAAATATCTAAATATTGTAGCCACATGGAAACTAGACATTTTAATGAAAGATCTAGCTGCCATGATGGTCAAGAGCCACGTCTCAGCCCAAGCCAGCTACTCACCCCACTGAATAAGGAGGCCAAGAATAAAACATCCACTTTTAGTAGGCTCATGGCAGAGCTCCTCTGAATAAAAGCTGAATTAATGGTTTTGACTTCCCTAACCCCAGGCATTTGTTACACAGGCCAATTTTCAAGGTCACATAAAGTAGACCAATAAATATAGCCTAGATGACTTGGCATTTTCAAGGTCACATCTGCCACATAAGATGGACCACTCAGGTGAGTAAACAGGTCCTGTGGCTTGTCTACTTCGACTGCCCACTTACTGGTGGGCAGCTTGGTGGTGCCATCCCTTGGACCACCAAGTTACAAGTCACGTTGCCACATCAGTGTGGCAACCGGCGTTCTGTGGCTAGTGAGAACTGGACATTTGGACTGAAGTTTAACTCAGCCATTCCAGTCAAGGTATCCCAGGGCATTTGGTTTTTAATTTCTCCATCCTTCACTATCCAAAGTATATTATTTTGATCAATTGCATCAAACCACTTTGATTAGATGACTGCCGTCTCTCTAAGAAACAAACAAAAAAACCTGGAACAAACAGATAAGTAGCCCTTTAGAAAAGCCAGACAGTGATGAATCATGTGGGCCATACTCCTCGGGAGCTCTCAGAGCTCGTCCCTTGAAGGCACCGTGTCCAGAGAAGTCGGTGGTGGCAGTGCTTCTGTGTTCTTGGCATTGCTGTGGATGTGTCCTTGCTTGCGGGACTTCCAGGAATGTGTCCTGTCCCAGTCAGTGGCAACTGTCTCATTGTCCCAAATGGTCGAAGTTTCTGTGTCGCTCAGATAGCCCGGCTGGCCTGTGTAATGCGTGGGGTAGATGAGCAAGGGCTCTGCAGAGAAGGCTTTCAAGTCCCTGGGTTCATAATACTCCTTGTACTCCGCTCTGTAACAAGAAGTGCACGGCCACATGAGGGGCAGAAGCCTCAGGGAGCAGGGAAGGGTAGGGGACCCTGCTTGTCATCTCTGAAACCACCCAAGTTCATGTCTTGCTTTGTAAGTTGTACCGCTTGTAGAGAACCTTAGGCTACAAACACAAGGGTTTCTTTAAAGCTTTCAAAAGATCGGTACAAACACATAAGGCCAGACCCAACCTGTTGCAATTGGGTAGGACAGTTTAATGAAGGAGCTTCAAGTTAAACTCTGTTGGACTCCTAGTGATAAATAAACATAGTCAAGTCACAACCAGTGTCCTGTTCCTGAATAAACAAATTACACCTGGAACCCTGACAGCAGCAGTGGGGTAAGTGACATGGACACTGCTTGGAGGCATTGCATTCCAGTTCTTGCTTGCTGCCCTGGTTCTATGCAATTGTAAAGTAGAGGGACGTCTTGGCCCTCCCCCAAGGGCTCCTATGGAGGATACTGATGCCTTGTCTTTGTCTGTGAGTGAAATAAGTATCAATTAAGTAACTATTAATTTCCCTTCTGTTAGAGGAGATAATGGTTTGACTCTGTTTCTGTCAGAATTCAGAGGTAGAGCATGCCACATTAAAATGACATGTAGCTAGTTCTATTTTTACTGATGACAGGAGACAAAATGAGCAAGCTGCATCATGGGAGCCTCAACAACTAAGATGAAGGTGAGAGTTGGACATCACTTAGCATCTGAGGGAAGGAGCTGAAGTTGGAACCCGGCCTCCTGCTCCACTCATGAGTTTAGGAGACACTGTTGAGTGGCTATTGCACATACTCTAAGGACCCAGAGTTTGTGATTGTTCCTACCTCCAAGGGTTCATATCCTACTGTAAGGACTGACAGGTAACCATCAGTTTACCAGACTTTTTGATAAGCATCTGTCAGTCACAGGCCTTTGGGATTCTGAGTAACTCTTTTTTCCACTGATACTGGCTCAGGGGCCACCTCCTCATTCCCTGATTATCTTGCCATCTCCATGACTATAAGTATCATGATACATCATGATGATGTGTTCACGGGTCTATGTTATCTCCAACAGGACAAGCACCGAGAGGATGTGCACCACTGCCTACTAGTCTACACACAGAGAATGAGCAGAATGAACTCCAAATCTAGGGTGCTTAAGAAAACGACATTTAGCTTCCGGGATGTGAAGTTATGGGGTCAGAAGAACAGACTGACAAGTGGATTCTGAGAGGACGGTGGCCCTGTGCACTGGGTAATGAAGAGGACATTAGGCAAGGCATTCACCTCATCTGCCTCATCCTTCCTGTCTGTTCAAGGGGCTACTCAACCTTCCAGGCTATGATTATGGAAGGATCCTTTAGGAAAGCCATACAACTATAAAAAAAATACCAAGTTCTACCCAGGCGGCTTAATTCCTGAACAGTGTGTGCCAAAGGAACAGGTGGCCATGGCAGGAGACTTACACAGGATGCTTGTTGTACATGACTGGCAGAAACTCATCCACTGGTAACATCTTCCCAAAGGGATCCGCTCCAACAAGCTTCTGTGCTCCCTCCAAAGAGATGGCGTAGCCCAGCGTCCAGTAGGAATAGTCAGCTTCAACCAGATTTACAACATTGGGCACCGCTTTCTCTGGCTCTTTGACTTGCATTCTTTTCCTACCAATGTAACTGTAGGGAAATGGGGATGAGGAGAAATGTTCCAACTAGATATTAGGATACTGGATATTAGAAGAACAGAGCACATGTATAGCTTGAAAGGGCAGTTTAAAGACTGGGCTGTTGAGTCTTTTGCTCACGTACACTACCACAGAGAACTTTCCTCCAGTATCCGTAATAGCTATTGGTCCTCATGAAGGCAGTTCCCCGGCTCCATTTATCAGCACCCCAACTATTCAAGCCTAGTGGTCTGTCTTTAAGCCAGAAAGGGAAGATGCAAAGAGATGGAAAAATTGCTTGGGTGATTTCCCAGGGACGATACAGGATTTCCAGCTGTGTGTAGAGAGGTTGGAACGGAATGAAAGAGGCCAATTGTGGGGATATTGGATTTGTTGTCCTCACATCCCCAGAGTGTCAACCTTGGATAGTTTCTGTACCACTTTTCAAGTGCTGGGGTAGACAGGATAGAAAGGGCTGCAGTGGACAGCGTCATCAGTAGAGGACATGGACACTCCAGAGGAGCCCCCAAAGGTTCCTTCTGGACAGTCTGAATGACAGCTCTGAAAGCCTTCCCCCCTTCACACTCTGCACATGCTCCGAGGAAGACACTGACTCACGCAGAACAAGAACACATTCCATCTTCAGCTCTTCTGGGGATCTCAGGCATACATCCTTATAGTCGCTGTCATTTCAGACTGAAGAGACTGGATTTCTCTTATATAGTGGCAAAGAAACTTCTAGTGAACTTGAAATATGGCTGCAAGGGCCCAGGAACTGAGTTTATAATCTTACTAATCTAATTTCTAATTTGGATGGTGCCCCAATGGACCCACCTCCAGTACAGTCCCTATACTTAAGGCTTAGGGGACATAACAGGAGAAGGGGAGGCAAGATCGTCAGAGCCAGAGGGACAGGGTGTCTGCTATGCGATTGCATCTCCCAGGAATGACAGGGAAGCCATACCCATGAAGCCTCAACAGCATGGCTGCCTAAATAAGACATGAATAAGGATCACACCAATAGACATGCTAACACAAATGAGGGAAATTCAACCCTAGATAAAGACCTACAGGAAACCAAGGAAAACTGAGAGCAGGATTTAGAGTCTTCCCATCCCAGGAAGAACCCCCAGATTGGGTATCCAATACCAAGTGGTCATCCCTGAAATCATATACATACTCACAGCATTCTACAGACTAAATAAGTTATATTTATATATCCAGGAATACATATATATTTATATAAATATATAGAATATATATGTATGTAACAACAATTTTAAAAAAGGATGCAGATGACACGAATTTGAGAGAAAGGAGAACTACATGAGAGAGATTGGAGAGAGGAAAGAGAAAGGGGAAATAATGAAATTATATTGTAATTTCAAAACTTAAGAAGAAGTTACAATTTTGATATTTTAGCTCTGTAAAATGCTTTTCTTCTGGAAAAGCAAGTTTATTAATTGGTAGGACCACAGTTTAACAGTTGACATTTTATTTCCTGGGTTTAACTGTGTTTTGAGTGTAATTATACATAGGCCTTTTTTAATTTTAATTTTAAAATTTATATACATAGGCCTTTATTTTTTTAAAGTATAAATGCTAAGTACAATTTATTTATGTGTTTTGATATATACCTCAATAACTTTTGTAAACATTTTAATCTAGTCATACAGCAGAGGGGTTTGCATTTTGTATACATAGGCCTTTAAAGATAGTAAAACACCATAAACTATTTCATTAATGGTTAGAAATATTACTTACATGTTAAAATAGTGATATTTTGATATATTTGACTAAATAATTTTTACCTCATTTATTTTTTAACTTTCAGTGTGATCAGAAAATTTGAAATAACATATTTAGCCCCTACTCTATTTCTTACTGAGGGAAACTCCCCAGATAAGTCCAGTGACTGTTTAGATTGTCCCAATTTATTATTTCTTTTTTTCTGGAAACAACAAGGCTGCTAACTATGGATGGATGATTGTTTTCAGTGTTTGAGTAATTATTCATTAATGCATTTAACAGTTTTTTTAAAGATCTGTGACATTTTAGAATACCTCTTTACTCTTTCCATCCTTATCAGGACAGCCATCTGGCCTTCCTTCCTGGGTCTGATGACACTCTGTCCTGAGAATGTACCAACCATACCACACATGAGAAGGCATGTGTCCTGAATCTCCGCTTTAGGTGTCCTGGGCTGTGTTTTCTGTGACTATCAAGTGTCAGTCAAAGTTACCTTTTTGTGTGTCACCTGAGCACAGCATGGCTTTCAGTGTGTGTGGGCATGAGGCTTTACCACAGGCGGTATAATCAAGATGCAGAAGGGCTGAAGAGCAGTGACCACGACAGTTTAAGACACGGACCACGTGACTCAAGTCTGGCAGGGGAAGGCCTCTTTCTAGTACTGATTTTGAGGTCTATTTCCTGAGTTAGTTGGGCCATCACTGGGCTTCTTTTTAAGATAAGAACAGGCCACTTTCTGTGAAAACAGGTCTTCCACCAGAGTGCAAAATTAACTTCCGGGATGAGGATGGGAAGACAAGGAAAGGTAGGCGGTTCCAAAGGAGCAGGCTCTGATTTGACAGTATTACCTTAGATACACAGCCAGGGACCTTGGGATGCTTCTGCCTCGTTGGAGGGAACAGAAGGAGTCGATTATTTTACAAAGAAAGAGAAACAAAAGGAGAGAAGGGGAGAGAAAGGGAAGAAAGGAGGAATGAGAAGGAAAAGATGCTGGTTCAGAGGCAAGGGACAATGCATTGACTAATACTAGCTCCGAGCCAGCGATCTCAGGGTTTCTTTATTAGAGAACCCCATCCCAGTGCGGGAGTTTTCTTCTGAGCCTCCCACACCCATCAGCCCCATCAGGGACTGCAGAGGCAACCCTTGTCCTGGAAGCTGAGGTTCAAGTATGCTCTGCATTAGCCCTTTAATGAATGCCTCCTACTCCTCTTCACACCTGCCCACAGGCAACTTTGCTTTGCAGGTGAAATGTCCACTGCCTTGTCATGAGGTCCCTTATCGTCTGGCCAACTCCAATTTCATAAAACAAACAACAACAACAACAAAAAGCCAAAACCTCCCACAGTTTCTCACCTTGGAAAGTAGATGGAGGTAAAAACAACTGCCCAACCTCTCCCTACTTCTGGAAACATCTGTGGTGTGAAAAACCAGGCAAATGGGAGGAAGCTTGAGTTGGGTCTCCTACCAGCTGGGGAGGTGGACTTTCTGTACCTTGGAAAAGACTGTCTTTGAGTGCTACTCATATTGTGACTCACATCAGTTCCCAGTCCAGCTGAACCTTGTCAATGTCATCCATCAGCTTCACTAGTTTCTTCTTGAACTGATGCTCAAAACGCACATCGTCTTCAATGACGAGCGTCTTCTCCAGTCCCCGGTCAATAACCTGTAAAGGCCACCAGTGGGAAAAGAATGTGTGAAAACTCTGATACCATTTTCATTTGAGAAAGCACATAGCTCAGATCTAAGAAAATGTCTGTTGACAGCAGGATGTATGGATGAATGTGGCGTAGTCATAGCAAGGAGGAGAGATGATCTACAACTAAATCAATGTTACAGTCGTAGCAATCTTGCAGGTTAACGTCTCTCATACACAATACTGAGGGGTCATATGTATTGTGTGGTTCCATTCACATAAAGGAAAGTACAAAGACAGGCCAGACCATGCTCTCAGATGCCAGGATGGTGATAGCCCTTGGGGAATAGTGACCAGAATATCAGGCAGAGGGGGACACCTCTGGCATATTTGTCATCTGTTTCTTGATCCAGTATTAATATGGGTGTCTTCTATGTGTGAGATTTCATTGACAGTACCTTATGATTTATGTACTTCTCTATGTTTCTGTAACATTGTAACTGGGTCATTAAAGGAGAGAGGGCACCAAGGGGTCTGTATTTAGCCTTTCCTTCCCTTTTTGTTATTCTTCTTTCTTGTGGGACTTGAGCTTTATTCATGTACCCTATACACCAATGCCACCTCCGCTAGTATCTGGATACGTAAGACACAGGGTCATGCTATGGCTCTGAATCTTCTTACATGAGAACAGTTCATGTGATTCTCGCATGAATTCATTGGTAAATGATAACATGACAGGCATACACAAACAATTCATGCTTGCTGTGAAGATGAGCTCAGGAAAATAAAGTTCACACGGTGTGAATACCTTCACCTGCCACCATCCCAAGTAGCACAGAGACCACCACCCTAGGATCTTTGCTGCTGGCCTTGGGCTGATGGGATTCACAAAGCAATAGTGATATGTAAGCATGCTTCTGAGACAATCATAGGCTCCTTTTGCATCTGAAAGTTCTGTTCTTTCTCTTCCTCATTACCAGCCTGCTCCTCTAAAGAATTAATTACCTCTTTCCAGACAGAGAAGTGACTAAGGAAGCAGCCAATTTCGCCCCGTGTTAAAGGCCTGGAGGAGTAGGGGTCACGGTACCCTGGTAGCATTTCAATGTTCCATGCCTTCAGCTGGCTTGTGTTGAGTGCCCTGTATGACAAAGAACATGCATGAGCATATCTAAGTCAAGGTGTCTCCACTCCAGTGTGGGGAGAGAAAGAAGGAGACAAGGGGGATGACAGACAGACAGACACACGCAGAGAGGGAGAGAGAGAGAGAGAGAGAGAGAGAGAGAGAGAGAGAGAGAGAGAGAGAGCGAGAGAGAGAGCGTGTTTCTGTAGAGCCTCTCCATACATGGACGAAAACTTCTCAGTTTCCTATAAGCCCCTTGATGGCCTCCAGGTCGGTGTACCACAGTGACATCATGAGCACGATGAAGGTAAAATGATCTCTTCTGCATGTGCACATCCCTCCCAGTGTCCAACATGGTTTTTGTTTGTTTGTTTTCCATAGTTTTTTTTTTTAAACTTTGAAAAAGTACTCTCCTAATGAAGGAAAAGCAACTTATAGGCACATTATATCCTGGAAGAGCTGAGGACAGGAAATAATTAGAAGAGAAACTATGCATATGTGACATTCCTTTGGACCTAAAACTCAAACAAGGTCTAAAATAAAACATTGCTTAAATGTTCCGAATGGAGTAAATGTCTCTTTATAAAAGTAACAAGGCAGCGAGTCCAGCTTCAGATGAGATTGGGTCTCCGGCGGGGACCGCCTGCCCATCCCCCATCCCCGTTGATCTTCCGGGCCGCTCCTGGCATCCAGAAGACCCGCCCACACAGGAAAGACATCAGCCCCTCCAAGACCCCAACCCCAGTGAGTCCAGCTTCAGGAAAGACATCAGCCCTTCCAAGACCCCAACCCCAGCGAGTCCAGCTTCAGGAAAGACATCAGCCCTTCCAAGACCCCAACCCCAGCGAGTACAGCTTCAGGAGACCTGCCCACACAGCAAAGAAGTCAACAATTCCAAGACCCCAACCCCAGTGAGACCAGCTTCAGGAAAGACATCAGCCCTACCAGGACCCAAACTCCGTGTCAGCATCCCCAGCTTCAGCTGCAGGAAGGAAGGAGACCAGTGGAGACGGAAAGACCCCACCAGCACCCACTGAAAGAAGAGATGGGAAGAAGACAGAATAAGAGATCACTCAGCAATAGAAACACCAACATGACCCCACCAGAATCCAGGGATCCAACACCAGCAAGACCCGAAAAGCACTACATAGACGAAGAAGAGGAGACAGACCTTAAAAATTATTTCATGAAGATGATGGAGACCCTCAAAGAAGAAACGAGGAAATCCCTTAAAGAAATAGAAGAAAAACAAACAAAAAATCCATGAAATGGGGGAAAAATTCAAGAAATAAACAAATCTCTCAAAGAATCTGAAGAGCACCAAGAAAGAACAACCAAAAAAATTAAGGAAACAACTCAAACAGTTGAAGGATTGAAAGCTGAAATAGAAACGATAAAGAAAACACAGAATGAAGGGATGCTGGAAATAGAAAAGCTGGGTAAACGATCAGGAACTACAGATGCAAGTATCACCAATAGAATACAAGAGATAGAAGAGAGAATCTCAGGTGTTGAAGACTCATTAGAGGATATAGAGTCGTCAACCAAAGAAAATCTCAAAACCAACAAATCCTTAACACAAAATATCCAGGAAATATGGGACACCGTGAAGAAGCCAAACCTGAGAATAATAGGTATAGAAGAAGGTGAAGAAATTCAACTTAAAGGTACAGAAAACATATTCAACAAAATCATAGAAGAAAACTTCCCTAACCTAAAGAAAGATATGCCTATGAAAGTACAAGAATCTTACAGAACACCAAATAGGCTCGACCAGAAAAAGAAGTCACCTCGCCATATAATACTCAAAACATCAAACCTACAGAGTAAAGAGAAAATATTAAGAGCAGCTAAAGAAAAAGGCCAAGTAACATACAAAGGCAGACCTGTCCGAATTACACCTGACTTCTCAATGGAAACGATGACAGCCAGAAGATCCTGGTCAGATGTCCTACAAACGCTAAGGGAACAAGGATGCCAGCCCAGACTACTATATCCAGCAAAGCTCTCAATTACCATAGATGGAGAAAACAAAATATTCCATGACAAAGCCAGATTTAAACAATACGTATCCATGAATCCAGCTCTACAGAAAATGCTAGAAGGAAAACCTAGAGCCAAGGAAGATAACTACATTCACAAAGACACAGGCAATATATAATCACACTTTACAAAACACCAAAAGAAAAAGGGAGGAGAAACTACACAAAATAACTTCACTAACAATAAATCAAGCACAAACAAGGATCACCAATCAATGGTCATTAATATCCCTCAATGTCAACGGCCTCAACTTGCCTATAAAAAGACACAGACTAGCAGAATGGATATGAAGACAGAACCCTTCCTTCTGCTGCATACAAGAAACACATCTCAACATCAAAGACAGATGTTATCTCAGAGTAAAGGGTTGGGAAAAGATCTTCCAATCAAACGGTCCCAAGAAACAAGCGGGTGTAGCAATCCTAATATCTAACAAATTAGACTTCAAATTAAAATCAATCAAAAGAGATGAAGAAGGACACTTCATATTCATCAAAGGAAAAATACATCAAGACGAAGTCTCAATTTTAAACATCTATGCCCCAAATACAAAGGCACCTACATTCGTGAAAGAAACATTACTAAAGCTCAAAATGCACATAAAATCTCACCCACTAATAGTAGGAGACTTCAACACTCCGATCTCACCGCTAGACAGGACCTCCAGACAGAAACTTAACAAAGAAACAAAAGAACTAATAGAAGTTATGACCCAACTGGGTTTAACAGACATCTATAGAACATTCCACCCAAATACAAAGGGATATACCTTCTTCTCAGCACCACATGGAACCTTCTCTAAAATTGACCACATAATAGGAAACATAGCAAATCTCCACAGATACAAAAAAATTGGAATAACCCCCTGCATCTTATCAGACCACCATGCATTAACATTAGAATTCAACAATAACACAAATCGCAGAAACCCTACAAACTCATGGAGATTGAACAATGCACAATTGCACCATCCCTGGGTAAAGGAACAAATAAAAAAAGAAATTAAAGACTTCCTCAATTTCAATGAGAATGAAGACACAACATACACAAACTTATGGGACACTTTGAAAGCAGTGCTGAGAGGAAAGTTTATAGCACTAAGTGCCCACATGAAAAAACTGGAGAACAGTCATACTAGAGAATTAATAGCACAGCTGAATGTTCTAGAACAAAAAGAAGCAAACTCCCCCAGGAGGAGCAGACGCCAGGAAATAATCAAATTGAGGGCTGAAATCAATCAAGTAGAAACCAGAAAAACACTGAGAAGAATCAATGAAACAAAGAGTTGGTTCTTTGAGAAAATCAACAAAATAGATAAACCTCTGTCCAAACTAACCAAAAGACAGAGGGAGAGCATGCTAATTAACAAAATCAGGGATGGAAAAGGGGACATAACAACAGACTCTGAGGAAATCCAGAGAATCATCAGGGCATACTTTGAAAATCTGTACTCCACAAAATTTGAAAATTTAAAGGAAATGGACAATTTCCTGGATAGATATCACTTGCCAAAACTAAATCAAGAACAGATAAACAATCTAAACAGACCTATAACCCCTAATGAAATAGAAGCAGTCATCAAAAGTCTCCCAAATAAAAAAAGCCCAGGCCCAGATGGCTTCAGTGCAGAATTCTACCAGAAATTCAAAGAAGAGCTAATTCCAATATTCCTCAAAGTATTCCACACAATAGAAGCAGGAGGCTCACTGCCAAACTCTTTCTACGAGGCTACAATTACCTTGATACCCAAGCCACACAAAGACACAACTAAGAAAGAGAACTATAGACCAATTTCCCTCATGAACATTGATGCAAAAATACTCAATAAAATACTCGCAAACCGGATTCAAGAACACATCAGAAAAATCATCCACCATGATCAAGTAGGCTTCATCCCAGGAATGCAGGGATGGTTCAACATTAGAAAATCTATCAATGTAATCCACCATATTAACAATCTGCGAAAGAAAAACCACATGATAATCTCACTAGATGCTGAAAAAGCCTTTGACAAAATCCAGCACCCCTTCATGATAAAGGTCCTAGAGAGATCAGGGATAACAGGAATGTACCTGAATATAATAAAAGCAATATACAGTAAACCAACAGCTAACATCAAACTAAATGGAGAGAAACTCAAAGCAATTCCTCTAAAATCAGGAACAAGACAAGGCTGTCCACTCTCTCCATATCTCTTCAATATTGTACTTGAAGTTCTAGCTACAGCAATAAGACAACAAAAGGAGATAAAGGGGATACAAATAGGAAAAGAAGAAGTCAAACTTTCACTATTTGCAGATGATATGATAGTTTACATAAGTGACCCAAAAAACTCCGCAAGGTTACTCCTAGAGCTGATAAACACCTTCAGCAATGTGGCAGGATACAAGGTAAACTCAAAAAAATCAGTGGCCCTATTATATACAGATGATGAAGTGACTGAGAAAGAAATCAGAGAAACATCACCCTTTACAATAGCCAAAAACAGCATCAAATATCTGGGGATAATGTTAACCAAGGAAATTAAAGACCTGTATATCAAGAACTTTGTGTCTTTAAAGAAAGAAATCAAAGAAGATACCAGAAAATGGAAAGATCTCCCATGTTCTTGGATTGGTAGTATCAACATAATAAAAATGGCAATCTTGCCAAAAGCAGTCTACAGATTCAATGCAATCCCTACAAAAATTCCATCACAATTCTTCAAGGACCTGGAAAGAACATTAATCAACTTTATATGGAAAAACAAAAGGCCCAGGATAGCTAAAACATCCCTATACAATAAAGGAACTTCAGGAGGCATCACCATACCTGACTTCAAGCTCTATTATAGAGCTATAGTCCTGAAAACAGCTTGGTATTGGCACAAAAATAGGCAGGTAGACCAATGGAACCGAATCGAAAGCTCTAATTTTAACCCACACACTATGAACACTTGATTTTTGACAAAGAAGCTAAAACTGTACAATGGAAAA